ACAGATGACAGTCATCATACAGAGAAGACATGGTATGTACCACATCATGGTATTTATCATCCTCTAAAACCAGGCAAAATTCGTGTGGTTTATGATTGTTCTGCATGCTATCAGGGAACTTCATTAAATGACCAGTTGCTAAAGGGGCGGATATGACTAGTTCTTTGCTAGGAGTCCTATTGAGGTTTCGTCAAGAACCAGTTGCGTTAATGTCTGATATTGAGGCAATGTTTTACCAGGTGAAGGTGCCGCCTAACTGATCGCAGTGTCTTGGCGATTTTTGTGGTGGGCAGATGGTGACATCACAAGAGATTTAGAGGAATATGAGATGACAGTACATATCTTTGGTGCTGTGTCAAGTCCAAGTTATTGCTAACTATGCGCTCAGATTGACAGGGAAAGATAACTCAGCATATTTTGATAAAGGATTAACTGATAGCATCAGAAGAAACTTTTATGTTGATGATTGCCTGAAGTCTGTGAAAACAGACATAGATGCCATTAACTTTGTTGCAGACATAAGTGATGTTTGTTCAAGAGGAGGTTTTCATCTCACTAAATGGGTGAGTAACAGTCGGTCGGTTCTAGAGACAGTACCTGAACAGGAAAGAGCAGTAAAAATCAAGGATTTAGACTTGGACCAAGACAAGTTGCCAATGGAAAGAGCATTAGGACTCGGATGGTGCATTGAATCGGATCAGTTTGTGTTCAAGATCTTGATAAAAGACAAACCAGCAACAAGAAGGGGCATTCTTTCCATTACAAGTTCAGTCTATGACCCAATGGGCTTCGTAGCTCCAGTTATCTTACCAGCTAAACAATTATTGAAGGACTTATGCAGGATAAAATGTGGTTGGGATGATGAAATTCCAGACAAGTCTCTCTCGTGCTGGAAGAAATGGCTTGCAGAATTGCCACAACTAGAGTACACTTCATTTGACAGATGCATGAAGCCAAATTGGTTTGGAAGGGTTGTTATTTCACAGCTTCACCATTTCTGTGATGCGAAAGTGAAACTGGGTATGGAATAGTGACCTATTTGAGACTTGTCAGTGAAACAGGAGACATTCATTGTTCATTTATATTGAGCAAGTCCAGAGTAGCCCCTCTCAAGCAAATAACCATTCCACGGATGGAGTTAACTGCAGCTACAGTGGCAATTCGAGTTGATAATCTGCTCAAAAGAGAACTGGAGATTGCTATTGATGACAGTTTTATTGGACAGACAGTATGTCTGTAATAAGATACATTGAAAATGTCAACTCAAGATTTCACACTTTTGTAGCAAACAGACTTTCAGTTATCCATGATGGCTCATCTCCACAGCAGTGGCACTATGTTGACTGAAGCTAAACCCAGCTGATGATGCTTCACAGGGGACTCTCAGTGAAAGATTTCATGAAGAGTGAAACGATGGAAAAGTGGTCCTGAATTCTTGTGGCATCAGCAGGATGAATGGCCAGTGGTCGTTGTGAACCGTGAGATTCCAGGCAACGATTCAGAAGTGAAATGGAAAACTGTAAATACAGTAAAACTCACAGATGCTAGCGACACAGTTATGAAATTGTTTCATCATTTCTCACAGTGGTACAGACTGAAACGTGCAGTAGCATGGATTTTACGAAAGTGAGGAGACACTTGAGGGACAAAGTCAAGGGGAACAATACAGATCTGCAACAGAAGGGTTCAGGCATTGAATTAACATTGCAAGACATGGTTGATGCAGAGACTTCAATTGTTCAGTTTGTACAGAGACTTGCATTTGCACATGAAATTCATATCATTGAGAACTCCAAGGCTGGACTTTGTAAGTCAAGTAAGCTATACAAGCTTGATCCCATTGTAGAAGATAACCTGTTGAAGGTTGGTGGTGGCTTGACAGAGCATGTATGTCTGAACATACCAAACATCCAGTGATACTGCCTAAGGACAGCAATATTTCAGAGATGATAGTTAGGAATATTCATGAATCTTCAGGACATGTTGGCAGAAATCATGTATTGTACAAGTTACTCAGTAAGTACTGGATTCTTGGAGCTACCTCTTTAATCAAGAGTGTGATACACAGATGTGTTACATGAAGAAGACATCATGCTGGTGTTCTGGAACAGAAGATGGCTGATCTTCCCAGAGATCGTGTTACCCCAAATGATCCTCCATTTACATTTGTAGGAGCGGATTATTTTGGTCCCTTTGAAGTTAAGCGTGGTCGTGCCTTGGTCAAAAGGTATGGAGTAATTTTCACCTGTTTGACTACTACGTGCAGTTCATATCGAGGTTGCTTTTCGCTTGATACCAGTTCATGTATCAGCGCTTTGAGAAGATTTGTAGCAAGGAGAGGTCAGATTCAGCAAATCAGGTCAGATAATGGTACCAATCTGAAAGGCACAGAGAGGGAACTTGGGGAGGCAATCAAGCATTGGAATCAATCTACCATTAAGAGAAGTATGATACAGAAGAATGTTGAGTGGATATTCAATCCTCCTACTGGATCACATCATGGCGAATCTGGGAACGACAGATACGTTGTGTCCGGAAGATACTTTTTCAGTTCTCAAGGATCAGCCTGTAGGTGATGAGGAATTACACACAGTGCTGTGTGAAGTAGAAACCATAGTTAACAGTCTCCGGCCAATTTCAAGAGTTTGGATGATCCAAGTGATTTAGATGCGTTGACACCAAATCACCTGCTATTGTTAAAAGGTAAGCGAACCTACCTCCTGGTATATTTTCTGAGAGTGATGCGCATTACATGCGCCGTCGATGGAGACAAATCCAATACTTAGCAGATCTCTTTTGGAAGAGGTGGTCTCGAGAGTATCTTACGTCGTTACAGGTGCGACAAAAGTGGTCAAAGCTCGCCGCTAATATTCATGTTGGAGATGTAGTTCTCATCGTCGATGAAGCAGCACCTAGAAATTCATGGCTTATGGCAAAAATTGAGAAAGTTTATCCTGATCACAAAGGGTTTGTGCGCAGTGTTGAAGTCAAAACGAAATCAGGTGTTTTGAACAGACCAATTTCAAAGTTGTGTTTACTGCTTGAAGGTGAATGTTGACAATATCAATTCTCAGTTCTACTGTTGAGCTAGTGTAGGAAGTGTACATTTGATAACTTACTTAACCAGTGGATATTTTAGGTTTATTATGCAACCATAATGTGTGTATGAGTGTGTATGTGAGTGATTCACATTCTCAGAGCTATTTGATGCAGTTATAAAGTTATGTTCAGTTGAAATGTATCAGTTCATGTGAAACTGAATATGTTTCAGATCCTTTGACGCAGTGTATGTTAGTATTGTAATTGTTACTTGTAACAATTAAGGGTCCGGAATGTTGCGGTCAAATGCTATATTTAGTTTGAGATCATGTGATCTAGGGTAAGTCACATGACTGTAAAAAGGGGAGATAACTTGGGAACAGAAGTATGCAATGTTGTACAGTTTCAGTGTGGAGTTCAGTGTTGCAATACGGTTTTTCAACCGGCAACAGCAGAAGTAGCAGAAAACAGTGTACACAGATAAAACACAGAATAACGTTTGCTGTGTTGGAACCGTGGGAGTTGTTAATATATATCTACAGACATTTGCAGCGGTGACACATAGATTTCGACTAAATGATTCGATTTCTAGACATTTTAGAAAAAGATTTAAAATAATTAATAAAACGACGGTAAGAAAACCGAAAATACTGAACTTTTGCATTGCATTACGGTATACCGAACTGAAGTAAAAATACCGCAGTTCTACTGATACCGAGGTATACCGTTTCACCCCTAATAGTAACTGACTACCGAATCCACGATACAATGTGACGGCTCATTTTGTGTGCACACAAATGGGTGATGATTGCAAATTGCTTCTGTAAACAAACGTTTCATTCACGAGTGGAATATTAGGCATTTTCAGTTTGCTGAATCAATGAATAAAATAATCAGTGAGTATACAAAATGAAATCGTGCATTTAAAACATGATTTTCGCTGCTCTTTCCTTTCATCCACGAATCAAGGTTACGCAAGTGTATATAGTGGACTCTGTATAATCCAACACTCACTGGGACCAGGAGAAAGTGTCGGATTATACAGAGTGTCGGATAATGCAATGTCACCTTGCTTGAATACTTTTCAAACAGTACCATACATTGTAACTGGCTTTTATTTCATAAAATTAAAGCTTAATAGCTACTTTCTTGGTAAATAAAGGCAAAATAACAAATTCTGTATGTTCATGTACATGTATATCTTTGGATTTATTGTCTTCAGTACAATATACATGCATGGACTACAATCACAATCATATTTACACATTTATTAAAAAGTGTTCAATTGTAGACTGACTGTGACAATTCAAGTTGACACCACCACCATGGATAATTCAATGTTTAAATGATTTTTTTTATAATTTAAGTCTTTTATTTCCCATTTTCATATATTACAAAAGTAGGTATACAGTAATGTGTATAATGTTTAAATGATGATAATATAGAAGAACGCTGCCGGGACCAAAAAAAATGTGTCAGAATTCACAGATTGTCGGATAATTCAGATGTCGGATTATACAGAGTCCACTGTATTAGGAATTACACTATCTCAGTAAAGTACAGACTGGGACAAAATGGGAGTCTACACATACTTTGTGTACCTGTCTAACATGATGAGCAAATTATGGTGGTGTCGTCTTGCAGCAAGAAGTAGATGTTGAGTTTGTTCATTTGTAACACAAGCTGTATTTGTGGAAGTATTTGAAGATACAGTACCGGTACCTATAAACATACTTGTGCACTTGGGGTTATTTGGGTGAGATGAGTTTACCATCCTGTGTGCTTATATGAGTTGACAAGATGAGAACCAAGTGGTCACAATGTATATGTTCTGGCTGATTGAGTGTCTACGTTGATTCAATGTCTTTACCCCTATGTTGTTTCCGCAGATGTTTCACTTTTCCAAATGAATTCTATGGATGTTTGTGGTGGACAACTAACCTTACTGGTCTTGTCTGTAGGGGGATGGGTCGGTCGTGCTGTGGGATCTACGGGAGGCTACGTCCATGCATCGGACAGTGAGTGTAGGTGACCAGGAGCATGTCATGCGCTTTCCAACGTACAACACCGCCCGCGTTCTAGAGGAGGAGAACCACCACAGCTCCATCACCACCATCGTGCCTGTCTACTCCTCTCTAGTTGGGTGAGTACTGGCTAGATCAGTGTTAGACCTTCACCCCTGTTACCATCATCGTACCTGTCTACTCCTCTCTAGTTGGGTGAGTACTGGCTAGATCAGTGTTAGACCTATCACCACCATGGTACCTGTCTACTCCTCTCTAGTTGGGTGAGTACTGGCTAGATCAGTGTTAGACCTTCCCCACCGTCACCATCATCGTACCTGTCTACTCCTCCCTAGTTGGGTGAGTACTGGCTAGATCAGTGTTAGACCTTCCCCACCGTCACCATCATCGTACCTGTCTACTCCTCCTTAGTTGGGTGAGTACTGGCCAGATCAGTGTTAGACCTTCCCCACCGTCACCATCATCGTACCTGTCTACTCCTCTCTAGTTGGGTGAGTACTGGCTAGATCAGTGTTAGACCTATCACCACCATGGTACCTGTCTACTCCTCTCTAGTTGGGTGAGTACTGGCTAGATCAGTGTTAGACCTTCACCCCTGTTACCATCATCGTACCTGTCTACTCCTCTCTAGTTGGGTGAGTACTGGCTAGATCAGTGTTAGACCTATCACCACCATGGTACCTGTCTACTCCTCTCTAGTTGGGTGAGTACTGGCTAGATCAGTGTTAGACCTTCCCCACCGTCACCATCATCGTACCTGTCTACTCCTCCTTAGTTGGGTGAGTACTGGCTAGATTAGTGTTAGACTTTCCCCCCGTCACCACCATGGTACCTGTCTACTCCTCTCTAGTTGGGTGAGTACTGGCTAGATCAGTGTTAGACCTATCACCACCATGGTACCTGTCTACTCCTCTCTAGTTGGGTGAGTACTGGCTAGATCAGTGTTAGACCTTCCCCCACCGTCACCATCATCGTACCTGTCTACTCCTCCCTAGTTGGGTGAGTACTGGCTAGATCAGTGTTAGACCTTCACCCCTGTTACCATCATCGTACCTGTCTACTCCTCTCTAGTTGGGTGAGTACTGGCTAGATCAGTGTTAGACCTATCACCACCATGGTACCTGTCTACTCCTCTCTAGTTGGGTGAGTACTGGCTAGATCAGTGTTAGACCTTCCCCACCATCACCATCATCGTACCTGTCTACTCCTCCTTGGTTGGGTGAGTACTGGCTAGATTAGTGTTAGACTTTCCCCCCGTCATCACCATGGTACCTGTCTACTCCTCTCTAGTTGGGTGAGTACTGGCTAGATTAGTGTTAGACTCCCCCCCACCACCATGGTACATGGTTCTTTCCCCATCAAACACAGTTCCAGGGGAGGTAATAACAAACCCTTACATCATGCATTATGTCCTTTGTTCCCTGTTGACATGGTGTAATATTTTTTTTGTATTCCAGCTCAAAGTCTGAAGATTCTAGTGGTGAGTTTAAGCTTTCTTATAGTTAGGGTACAACAGTGATCTGAAATGGGACAGGATAGTTTATTACACGTCTTTGTTGGTCCAGTACTGACTTACACATTAGGAAACTTCAATGGACTAACTGGAAGTTAATTATTTAATTTGTGAGAAGATTTCATGATGTAATTTGTGGTGCTTTTCCTTCTTCCTATCATTATTTAATGCGATGCCTTGTCTATTCTACAGATGTCTTGAGATTGCTCTCGACCTTGTGTTGCTGCAGATGTCTGGGAGGTTTATGATGCATCATTAAACAAAATGATTTACTCACTTTTGATTCATGTTCTGTTTTAGATTTGGGTTCTGGCCTATCTTTCCAGTTAGCATCAGTTGAACAGAATGCTGTAGTCAACCTGTGGGTGAGTCGATTGATCAGAACACTAGCATTACCCTGTCCTTTGACCTAAGCCTTTAAATTCCACCAGTAAACAAGGATACAATTAGCTTCTGGAATGTCAATCACTGGAGTTTGCTTGACAGTGATATTGTGTATTGGCAATTGCATTGACATTTGCAATGACTGACAGTATTGTCCTGCATACTCTCCGTGGGTTGAGTTCTGTTGGCTCTTTGTTTGTCAACTGACTATACAGGGCATTATCAACTGACCCATGAATTGACCCAAGCATGTCACTGGACAGGGGTTACTGATACAGTCAGATGCCATGTTGTCTATGTTAGTAAACTACCCATTATGTGATCTGGCAACTTGGTTGAAAACGGTTTGGCGATAAGCAGGTTTAGGGTATTATCAATTTATGGTGGCCAATCCTTCCCTGATAATTGATGGGTCATTTAATTATTCTACCAAGGCATTTTAGAACCCTATTATGATTTGTCCTCCAGTGGTAATGAAGCAACATTGGACTATGATCTTACTATTTTGATATCAATATACATATCACATAAGAACCAGTGTTACAATCCACATTCACATAGTAAGTATGATGTTTGTACACAGGTGGTGGCTGAGATCTCGGCCCCAGACATGGCTGGGTCAGAGTCCGACCTGGGCCTCGCACCAGGGGGGAGGATCAAACTGCTCAAAAGCTCCTCCGTAACTCTACAGTCTCCCAACAGGTGAGTACAGAGCTCCTCCGTAACTCTACAGTCTCTCAACAGGTGAGTACAGAGCTCCTCCATAACTCTACAGTCTCTCAACAGGTGAGTACAGAGCTCGTCCGTAACTCTGCAGTCTCTCAACTGGTGAGTACAGAGCTCGTCCGTAACTCTGCAGTCTCTCAACTGGTGAGTACAGAGCTCCTCCGTAACTCTACAGTCTCTCAACAGGTGAGTACAGAGCTCGTCCGTAACTCTGCAGTCTCTCAACTGGTGAGTACAGAGCTCCTCCGTAACTCTACAGTCTCTCAACAGGTGGGTACAGAGCTCCTCCGTAACTCTACAGTCTCTCAACAGGTGGGTACAGAGCTCCTCTGTAACACTCTCTTGAACAAAGAACACTGGTGATCCATAAGAATATACTTTGCATTACATCATCCTGCTTGTTATCAAATTTCTGATTCCCAGATTTTCAATTCTATTTGTGATCAATTGTCTCAGGGATCTAATAGCTTAGTGGTTAAGGTGTTCTTTTATGATGAACACTGAAGTTCTGTTCCCAAAATAGGTACCATGTGAGAAGTGCAATCTTGATGTTTCATCACCTTCATAGAAAGTATACAGTACCATACTCACTGATGTTCTGTTACTCACTGATGCTCTGTCCTCTTCTCCACAGGGCTGCCAAGACCAAGGGTGGTATTCAGGCATTTGAAATGCAGCTGTTACCGACAGACCTCAACCACTTCTATATCGGCACTGATACGGTGAGTACACTCACAAAAACATAGATTGGTTGGTTTCTAGGATTACAGATCATTCTGCAAGTGAAGATTCCAGGCTACAGTTGCACCCCAGCAGTTCATGCTTGCTACACGATGTGACGGAACAGATTTGGTGGTCAGACTTGGTGACTGGTTGATTATGTGTCCTTCGACCCTGGTGATGGGGATTGTCGCTCATAATATCAATCACTGGACTCAGAGAGAATCCTTTTTAAATCAGATGTAACGAAAGTCTTGGAGACTTGAAAATCATCTGAAATAATTTTTAAAACTTTTTCAGTTTGTAGGTAATAAAAACCAGTGTCTTCTGTGTAAATATACAGCGCTCCAGCGGCAGTGACTTAGAGAATAGTGATGTCATGTGATTGTGATGTCAGTGTTGTCTTCATGATAGTAGACTTATGTCACACTTTCTTACATTCACAGGGTTGTGTTGTCCATGGTGTACGCTTCGGTTCTCGAGGGTTCCCTCAAGGCTATGCCCCAGCAGTAGGTGAGTGTTGTCTAGGTGTACGCTTCGGTTCTCGAGGGTTCCCTCAAGGCTATGCCCCAGCAGTAGGTGAGTGTTGTCCATGGTGTACGCTTCGGTTCTCGAGGGTTCCCTCAAGGCTATGCTCCAGCAGTAGGTGAGTGTTGTCCATGGTGTATGCTTCGGTTCTCGAGGGTTCCCACAAGGCTATGCCCCAGCAGTAGGTGAGTGTTGTCCATGGTGTACGCTTCGGTTCTCGAGGGTTCCCTCAAGGCTATGCTCCAGCAGTAGGTGAGTGTTGTCATGGTGTACGCTTCGGTTCTCGAGGGTTCCCTCAAGGCTATGCCCCAGCAGTAGGTGAGTGTTGTCCATGGTGTACGCTTCGGTTCTCGAGGGTTCCCTCAAGGCTATGCCCCAGCAGTAGGTGAGTGTTGTCCATGGTGTACGCTTCGGTTCTCGAGGGTTCCCTCAAGGCTATGCTCCAGCAGTAGGTGAGTGTTGTCCATGGTGTATGCTTCGGTTCTCGAGGGTTCCCTCAAGGCTATGCCCCAGCAGTAGGTGAGTGTTGTCCATGGTGTACGCTTCGGTTCTCGAGGGTTCCCTCAAGGCTATGCTCCAGCAGTAGGTGAGTGTTGTCCATGGTGTCCCACAAGGTTATGCTCCAGCAGTAGGTGAGTGTTGTCCATGGTGTCGCGCCTTCTCGGTTCTCTCGAGGGTTCCCACAAGGCTATGCCCCAGCAGTAGGTGAGTGTTGTCCATGGTGTATGCAGCCGGTTCTCGAGGGTTCCCTCAAGGCTATGCTCCAGCAGTAGGTGAGTGTTGTCCATGGTGTACGCTTCGGTTCTCGAGGGTTCCCACAAGGCTATGCTCCAGCAGTAGGTGAGTGTTGTCCATGGTGTACGCTTCGGTTCTCGAGGGTTCCCTCAAGGCTATGCCCCAGCAGTAGGTGAGTGTTGTCATGGTGTACGCTTCGGTTCTCGAGGGTTCCCTCAAGGCTATGCTCCAGCAGTAGGTGAGTGTTGTCCATGGTGTATGCTTCGGTTCTCGAGGGTTCCCTCAAGGCTATGCCCCAGCAGTAGGTGAGTGTTGTCATGGTGTACGCTTCGGTTCTCGAGGGTTCCCTCAAGGCTATGCTCCAGCAGTAGGTGAGTGTTGTCCATGGTGTATGCTTGCTTCGGTTCTCGAGGGTTCCCTCAAGGCTATGCCCCAGCAGTAGGTGAGTGTTGTCATGGTGTATGCTTCGGTTCTCGAGGGTTCCCTCAAGGCTATGCTCCAGCAGTAGGTGAGTGTTGTCCATGGTGTATGCTTCGGTTCTCGAGGGTTCCCTCAAGGCTATGCCCCAGCAGTAGGTGAGTGTTGTCATGGTGTATGCAGCAGTAGGTGAGTGTTGTCCGGTTCTCGAGGGTTCCCTCAAGGCTATGCCCCAGCAGTAGGTGAGTGTTGTCCATGGTGTACGCTTCGGTTCTCGAGGGTTCCCTCAAGGCTATGCCCCAGCAGTAGGTGAGTGTTGTCATGGTCATGGAGAATAGACTGTACATGATGCAACAAACAGATCATCTCTTTGAAAACTTACATGCCCTCATGGTATAGCTTGTTTCTTTACATTACAGAGTCTCCAGTAAATGTCACTACGATCGACTTCTCACCCTTTGGTAGCCCCTATCTGTTGGTAAGTTTACCCCACTGTCGCCTCCAGTCAGTTCCATCCAAGGGACAGTCATAGACTTCACTTCAGCACTTAGCAGACTATTTCAAACATGCTGTGTTTGATAATGAGTCAGAATTTTGTTTTACAAATCAAGATTTTTCTTACTATGAACTATGTTGAAAAAAACAATGTAATCATTCTCTAATGTTATTGGCAACTAAAGAAGCCATGACGTCAAACAAAGACATATGAAATTTAGAGTACTTCCTTACTTTTAATACTACAGTAGTCCTCCATGAATGACAGGTCAGCATGAATCAGGTTACTTGTACCCACCCACCTGGATAGCCATGTTACAGTGTCCGAGTTTGAAGCTACATGGAGTTATGCCCCTTTCCTCTGTCTTTTGGTGCCACAGTAAACACTTGTCTGCCATGATTACCGCTACTTTCATGTATGTACAACATATTGTCTGTAAAGGATATAAATATAGGATACCTAATGTCATGCGTCAGGTTATAAATCCATTCCTTATGTCATTATGTCATTCAAATAGTCTGTTCTGTTTTCACTGTCAAAGAAACATTTTCATCTCAGAGTACTTTTATTGGTGTATCAGATGAACAGACAAAATCTCCTGTTTTTGCAGTGTCTGTTTTCCAAGCCAATCTTGTATTTGGTATTAACTTTACACCCTCGGGTATGATATCCTACATCCTGTGTAACTGTATCACTAGAATTGTACACCCAGTGCGACACTGCCACAGTCCTCACATACCTCCTTCTCAACTCATACGAACAGTGTTAGAAAAATAACTTCATCCTGAGGGTTAAGGCAGCATCTAACATGACCACAAGTCACTGTCCCTGCAAGAGCTGTACATGCTGTCTGCTGCCTGCTTGTGCTGATTCCATACTTAGTTAATAATTCATGCAGGTTGTCCTCTGGAAGTATAAACCATGTAGTACCTATGATTTGAAGCCTGTCTAGTGTTTGCTTATAAACTGTGCAGAATATTGGAAGAGAAAAATAAATTACTAAAATGAAGTGTTCACATTAGGCTTTCCATGGGACTAACTTTTCCTTGAAGGGGATATTTTTAACTGCAGGGTCTTTTTTTGAGTGTAAACTCAATAACTTATGAACATAGATTTAGTCATGTTGAGCTGTGAACCCTGCTGTGTCTCACCTTGTATCTTGTCATTACAGGCTGGCTGTGACAATGGCTGTCTTCATCTCTATCACACCGGCACAGGTGAGCAATCACTCTCCCATAGGGGGAAATATGAAGATGAATGCACGAAACAATCAACATAGTGTCAGCATTCACACAACTGTGTCACAGTGCAGAAATACTTCTATCAGCTGTATTCCCCTGATCCTTACAATCAGAAAATATGATCAGAGTTTTCGTTACAAAAGGTGTTTTTGTCTACAAACAGTGTATTGATGTTATGTGTCGATTCCCAAGTTGAAACTAAATGTTATCTGGGAAACTGTCCGTAACAGACTGGGTGTGAAACCAACAAACCAACAAAGCAATGTGACATAATCAACTATTGTAGTCTGGAATTAACTACATTTACAAATTTAAAGAAATCACTTCACAGGTGTTACAGAGGTAGTACAAATTCAAAGGCAGCGTAAAGCAAAACCACTGATGCTAGCAATAAAGACAAATGGTAAAATTCACCTCACTGTAACAATGGTCAAGTTTCCAAAATAGGCTGAGTATCCAGGGTAAGAATGACCTTCACACAAATTCTTGTAACTTGAGATGTAATGTGAGATGAGAGGCAAGAGTTAGCTCTCTTTATATATACCGATAAAAAAGACTACAGAAGATTCACCAACTACTGGGGTTCGATTAGTGGAAAGATTCCTAGGGTTGTAGTACTCTGTTGTAGTTTCCAGTACACTGTCTAGATATAGCCCACCACTGTGCCCACCAGCACATGGAACAATGAATAACACAGCACATAACAATGTATTACTCTGTAAATTATCACAGAACTCTCTATACAACATAAATGAAAATTTGTATCATAACGTGTGAGTCCCCTTTGGTTTTATAGCTGTCTGAGATGTTACATGTGTTGATACATCATCTGTGTCTCTGTGTCTGATGTACATGTCTGGCCCTGGATTGTGGGTGACAACTTTTATTCACTCAGTCTACCCTTGATCACAGAGAACCCGTTGTTGTCGTGGCCGGTGTTTTCTGGTGGGCGAGCGGTCCACTGTGTCCGGTGGTCTAGGAGCAGGCCGGCTGTCTTCTATGTGCTGGACGAGGCCTCCATGGTCCACGTGTTTGATCTGCTGGAGAATGACTCCAGCCCAGTGTCCCGAGATCAGATCACTCCCGGCAGGTAGGAACACCACTGATGCTGAAATCAATACCCTGATGTGATAAAATAACATCACTCCAACACCCAATTCTTTCTTCATCTATTTATTATAAAATTGTGTCCAAAGCAAAGTGACTCAATTTACATCTTCATATTTTTTATGTTAATTTTTCTTTTCTTTCACTTGCCCACTCACTTGCTGACAGAAGTTGGAAATGAGACACATATAGAAGTACACTGATGGCCTTACTCTTCGGAGAGCCAGTTCAAACAAAATGGTGTTTGGCTTCTCTTATTTTAGGATATTTATCAGTCTATTTCATTATTTGACATTATTCTTTGCATACCTGGGGCGGTGGGGTAGCCTAGTGGTTAAAGCGTTGGCTCGTCACGCCGAAGGCCCGGGTTCGATTCCCCACATGGGCACAATGTCTTAAGCCCATTTTCTGGTGTCCCCCGCCGTGATATTGCTGGAATATTGCTAAAAGCGGCGTAAAACTAAACTCAGTCAGTCAGTCTTTGCATACCTGGCTAAATTCATGACAGACTTGACAGTGTTCATTACAGACTTGACAGTGTTCATCACTGCAGATTTGACAAAGTTCATTACTGACTTTGCTAAGTTTGTGGCTGACTTGACAATGTTCATTGCACTCTTGATTAGGTTTACTGCTGATTTAACTCATTGGAGTCTTGAGAGTGGTCTTTGGAGACCTGACAAAGTTCATGGCAGACTGGATTAGAGGGAGTAAACATTTTGATAATGGCCCAATAATGACATATTGCAGGAAACATACTTCTCTATAGTTATCTGTGTATGGATCAGTGATGCATGATGGAGTCATCCTCTACCAGTGTTGACCTGCAGTTTAGTGTTGTGGTTTACGGGATGAGCAACTGTTTAACTGGACTGGCAATATATTAGACTTGATAATATCGCTGTCTTGCTGGATTAGATAAAGAGTAACCACTGTTATAGTATAAACATATCACACTTGAAACAGATTTTGTTTAATGCATTTATTTGACTAAGGCTTCTATTTGTTTCAGGGCCGTGACAATGTGTCTGACAGGAGCCACACCATCCCGACCTCCCCAGCTGGTGAGTTACTTGACCCCCCTGGGCTGGTGACATGTCGATGTGATAGTGGTGTACACATTTATCACAGGACCCATGTCAGTAACGCGAGAATGTCACTTGAACATTGAAGTTAATGAAAGTTTTTTCAATGTAAATGATGGAAAAAGTTGCTCTGAAGAATTCCAGTATTTTCCTAAGTACACTTTGTATTCTTGATAATGGAACCTGTAATATTTTGTGTTTACCTTTTCGTGTGTGTAAGTGGGTAAGGTATCCTGTAATGTATCTCATCATGTGAGTCCCCTGTGTGGGAAACTTGTCCTTGGTTTGCCTCAGTGATACGGCTAGTAGAAATGGAGTATTGCTGAAAGCACAGGGGCATCAAGGGGTGTTACAGCTGTATAGAACTAAGACCATGTTAGTGACAATATATACCTTGAAAGTTAGCAACTCATGGAACAGTACATATTGACAAAGTCCACCAATCTGGGCTGCACCATCTTGTGCTGCCCATCTAGATATTTGCCCTCTACCAATACTTATCAACCTTGCTCCACCAGTATAATGAGATGAAAAGGCGTCTGTCTTGTCTGTGTTCCAGTTGCTGGCCTTGGACAATGGTCGGACAGAGGTTCACACCATCATCAAGCAGCTGTCTGAACAGCAGACACTTGAGGAAGACTTCATCGATAAGTATGTGGACAAGTTCTGATGCTGCAGCACTTTGATGTGAAAGGCACCATGTCAGACTCATGATGAGCACCACAACGGGCACCATGACAGTATCCAGATTTCATCATGACATCAGGACTCTCATTCTGCTGGTTTTGACACAGTATCAGACTATGTTTAAGCTCTATGTTATATTTGTTGGATTAGTTTGAAAACATTACTGCAGTCATAGATACCATGGATCATGTTGATACTGTCTGTATGGTGTCAAGGGACGACTCATGTAGATATGTGCTCATGGCTGTTTCAGAGACAAGTGATCTACAATCTGCATACCTTAGAGATCCCAAATTAAATATTTTGTGTGTTCTTGAATCAGATTCCAAAGTAAGGGTCCATTGTTCTTGAAGATTTAAGTATTTATATTATTTATTTGTGAAGAGGTCAGTTTTTCGTCCATTACTTGTCCATAGGTTGTAGATCTCTACATGTGATATATCACACAAGTGCCCATTCTGAAGACAGGATGATTAAGGTGGTGCAAAAACCAAAAACCTATCTACAAAAGCCCCAACTGTGATATGCACCACGCCCCTTATAGGTGTGGAATACGCCCGTACTGGAGGTGGATGTCTCCCTAGGATGGCATTGTCTTGAGGCAAGGTAGTTAACTAACTTTAATGTCCATTCAACTGACCAATCAGGTTCCATCTCTCATATCACTTGCATTTTCTCCAAACAAAATTAAATGGCCCAGTCACGAAGATCTGATCAATATTCAAGATCTGTATTGTACCCGGGTCTTAACCCACGAAGTACACTGACACATAAATTGAGCACCAAGATTAAAAACATAAGTTGAAAATATCTGTCAAGACCCAGTTGATGGTACACATGCTCTGCAAATTCTGCAATCCACCTAAATCTGCAGGGCAGTTACAGTTTTTTACATGAAACTTACATGGATGTTGTCACATGATTTTTATTGTTATATCTAGTCAAGATATAACTCGGACATTCCAGCCTAGGACAACAAGGAAGGAAACTGGACTTTCATAGACAGTTATCTCCCTTGCTGGCATGGTGACTTCGTGCATGTAATAAACACATTTCCATTGAATAATTCATGATGACATGTAATAAACACAGATCTGCTCTGTAGTTCACAATTTCATGCCAAAAATATAGATCTGCCCTTTGTCCATGATGGCATGTAATAAGCACAGATCTTCTCTATTGTGCATGATGGCATGTAATAAACACTGATGTTCTTTATAGTTCATGATGACATGTAATAAACACAGATCTGTTATATTGTTCATGATGACATGTAATAAACACAGATCTGCTATATTGTCCATGATGGCATGTAATAAACACTGATCTGCTGTACAGTCATGTAACAAACACAGATCTGATTCAGACGATACCACAACACTGCATTCATGTTTCACATCAAAGATGTTATTTAGCTTTTGTCTTACTTTGTGATACTTAGGGCCATAACAGAAGCATTATGGTATCAGATCTGGATGGATCAAGTAAATGTGAATTTGTCCATACTGTGAATGTACATAGAAATCAAGAGGTTCTATTTATTTATTCTGAGTGAGAAATATAATCTGAATGACATGACAGTTGTAAATAGTCATAGTAACTTAATTCCGTCCATGGGGTGAATTTCCTCAAGAATATCAGACACATCTTTCCTGGGACCAATCTGCAGATATCATTGTGTTTTCGTTATTGAAAGTCCCTCCAGTATATCCTGACATGTCTTTTTGTATTGTAACTGTTCTGTACAAATCAGTGAGTTTTTACTATGGAAGTTTGACAGTGTAAATGAAGTTTGTGATATCAGCATAGGTTGTCCTTTGTTTGTTAATGATGTCCGTCCACTACAAGCAAGTCCTCATCATGTAATGACAGTTTGTTCACAGCGATACCCTGTCAATAGGGTGCGTCACATTTACAAGGAGACATAACTCTGTATCTGTTATCCCTGAATCAGATCAAGGTTCCAGTGTGTGCTGTTACTTGTTGACAGGGTGTTGTAAAACAAGTAGCTTTGTTTCAAAATGTCAACTCAGAACAAATGAACAGGGTGCTCTGTATTGTGTGCATCTGGTTTCTGAACAAATTGTTCACAATTACTCCCTTGCCATGTCCAGTGTTAAGAATATCAGTAATGTTACCTCAAATTTACAGGAATCATGTTCAAAGATAAAAAAACAGTTTTCAAAGTCTCAGAATAAGCAAGGAATATGTACAATATGGTCTATTAGAAAGATGGTTGATGGTTGGATTACTTTGTTCTCTTATGTATGAAAAAGTTTCTATTAATTAACTTTCTCAATTTCAGTTTTAGAGAGTCTATCAGTGCTCACTATCTCACTGTTTCATGTTCACCACTACAGTGATTTACTCAACTGCATGTTGTCAAGTTGATTTCAGTATTGTCAAAATCATGTCAAATAAAACCGTTCCACAAGCACACAATAACAGAACAAAATGGCTCACATCATGTCCAATGATAACGATTCTGAAATTTCTACATCAGATTACATTAACCCAGCTCTTACAACTGCGAGTGTTGTTCACCTTCCTGCAGGGAGAGCCATGTGGTATTTTTGTTTCAGAGAGAATAAATTTCAGGCAGCACTTCACGACCTCCAATTTTGTTGTAACTAAAATATGTCATGTTGATATCAACCTCTATTATGTCCAAGGGAGGGACAAAACCCCTTCAGGTTAAGTCTGTCTATGGGGAACAGGGAATTCAACGTGTGTACTGGGAACAAGAACCACCTTATCTAAAGTACCTGTTATGATTATTTACTGTAACCATTACATGATATTCCTTTGTATATATTTCAAACATCTGGGGAAATAGGATATTTGAAATATTTTAAATAGTCTGAGATGGCTTTTTTTACCATAGTTATTGCAGACTGTATTGTGGCGCGTGTATCGATCCACTTTCTTCATGAGTCCATTTGTTCTAAAGCCCTTGGTTCAAGTTCTTGTATCTGCTCAGTGTTTGAAACCAATTCAGTTAGTGTTGCCAACCATGTTTATATTGATGAAATATTGTATAAATACATTCAGTTACACACCTGTGTTGTGATGTGAACACTAACATGATGAATTCACTTCTGGAATCCGTTTGTAATCATTTTACAAGCCTCTCTGTGTGCATGAATTGTGGGTCAAAAGATGAACATTTGAATGTACAGTGTTGTTTATTAAAATACTTCAGAAGCTTTTGAGTTGTTTTTGTTATTTCCTGGTACCCATAATTACTTACACCAACAACAAGTGGAAGTAGGTCACAGCGCGAGTCCCGAACACCTGCCGACAGCCGACTTACGAATCTCTAATACATGTATATAGAGACCGACCGATGTTGTATTTAGTAATAAAAAAAAAGATGATGATGATCTTGAAATGGCTGATCACAGTGTGCGGAAAGGGAGATGGACTTTCTTTTGCAAAGAATTATCCCAGCGTATTATAACGCAATTCAGAGACAAGTGAGATCTGGGCTGCGAAGACTGTCCGATGACGGCAGGCGTCCGTCTGGAGCGGTTCGATTCGTGGGCAGTAGTTACAAGAACAGTTTTCAATGTTTTCATCTCTCGAATAACTGGTAAGAAAATAACCCGGAAGTGCATGTCATAAATAATGTCTGCTGAGAACATGTAAGGTTGGTATCACAAACGCTCTCCATTTTCATCAGATGACGAGGTGGCCGAGTGGTTAAGGCGATGGACTGCTAATCCATTGGGGTCTCCCCGCGTGGGTTCGAATCCCATCCTCGTCGAAATTTTTTTTCCCCGTTTTAATGTTATTTACTCCTCTTGTGTACAGAAAACGTCTTTTAAAATGGTGTTCTCTGTTTCTATGAAAATGGGACAGTTATTCCTTAATAATCGTACAGTTATAACCACGGTTCAATTCACGCAAAATGTCCAGTTTTCGATCAAACGCTTTATGGTACCCGTACACTGTATACTTGCTGGTATGAGGGTCTGTCATAGTAGTCGGTCTACTATATTCTCGATGTCCAATGTTTGGGAAGCTTCCATTATATTTTTGAAGGAATCATAAGCGAGGCCATATCCAGAATTTCACATTTGTGGGTAATGTAGTTAACGAGATATTAGTCATCACAACACATTGGGGTATACTATTTCTTCAAAAATTGCAGAAAGTGAAAACGATCTGTCATTTTGTACCTCTTGGATAATGGTAAGCCCTCAGATAATATCATATTGGATGACTTCCCGTCATAATCAACATTCAAAGATTTGATTGCTTGAGTTAGATTTAGACGGTGGCTGGTTTTTAAGGACACCCCCATATTAGTCTTTCAAAAAAATTGTGTCCAGGTATTCAAGCTGGCCCTATTTACAATATATTGAGAGCTGACACTTGTGTGACCATTCGGTATTTAGTTTGAACCCTTCGCATCATGTATGAATAAGTAAACACATTAGAATAAGTTATGTCCTTATAATGATTACATTATCTGAAAGGGGGTTTAGTATCTCCAAACAAGCTCTTTCAGTAAACATGAAGTGGGGAGTCACTTTAACAAGCTCTATCAGTAAACATGAAGTGGGGAGTCACTTTAACAAGCGATGTTCAACTGCTTTTTTATGCACTTTAGTATCAAAGCTTGATTGTAGCGGACTTCTACCTATCCTTAAACACACAAAATGCTTCTTGCATATTTTGTTTCCCTGAAGTTTGTGAAGCATTTATAGCAGATTTTACGTTTTTTGGTGGCTGGAACATAGCAAAACCAATTTGATTGAGGCTGACAGATAATAATATTATGTAGAAAAATAAAACATAAAAACAGCTGCATTTGTGTTATTTTCAAGGTGAGGCTGACTACTTTATGACCAACCCACGTATGTTACATAAAGCGTGTTTCCTACATCAGTCCTCAGGGTAGAACACAGCTCAGTCACACACTCGTCTGGTTGCTGCCATTATTATACAAATAATTAAAAATACGATGCTTTCTTCGTCATTTCGTAAAAGCTTGAAAATATAATTCTATCAAAACAAATCTAAAGTTTCATCTGTTATGAAAAACAGCTTACATTTTAATAATTTTCTTTCTGCAAAAAGTAGACTAAACAGTTCAGCGTTCTAACTGAGAATTTACAACATATGCCTTAATTCATGTTGATGATACACAACGTACAGTGGCAACACACGTTACTTTCAGGCAGTTTGCTTGTTCTGTTTATCGGGGGCTCCTGTGACGTGCCCTAGATATGATATACACCACAAGCAGTATGGATTACATCATCTCAATTATTGGCTGGGGTAAAGAGTGTGCATTCTTCATGGTTCAGGGAAACAAGTTGGTTGGGTTGTTTGGTAGGAGTGTTGGTTGGGTTGTTTGGTAGGAGTGTTGGTTGGGTTGTTTGATAGGAGTGTTCGCATTCGGTACCTGGGGGGAGATTTCAAATAGTCTTTGTTTGGGCGTGTAGACGGCATTTCCAGATTTGACGTACCAGTACATGATATCGGATGCAGTTCCTTATTTTGACTTGCACCGAGTGGTCCCGCGGGTATTTATTTCAGGTGAACATATAACTTGCCATTGAAAGTCTTTGCTAAGTGTCTCACCGGCAGGGCGTAAGGAGCTCGATCTTTTTGTTATGGATTCATACCAGAGAGGTTGAAAGCGTGCAGTCAGCCCTGGCCGATAAAGGTATGATTATGGACTGGGTTTACACGTTAGCGGTTAAACGTGAGAGATAATGTGGTTATATAGTTATGTGACATCAAATCTATGTCAGTTTGTCGTTGATGTTCTCGACGGTACTATAACAACCAGTCATGTAGCATACAAACTACTGGACGTTGACGTACAGTGACACTATCATATGATATCTTCTGGGTGCAATGTTTGGGATACAATGAAGGGAGAGTGGCGGTAGGCAATGACTGGCGAGGTCATGTAGAAGTAGGGTTGTACTTCTGTGAACCGAGACTATTGTGGCAACAGTATTCACGACAGTTCAGTTTCAACACCCTAAGAAAAGTGACACAAACACTACCCTCGATTTTCTGGAAAGGTCCTATGATATATACCATGTAATGAATATATATATATATATATATATACGCGCGCGCCTGTGTATAAGAGGCCTGTGACCTATACAGTACTGAGAGTAAAACATGATTGAATGAAGAGCTTTGATGCATCTTTAATACTCGAAAATCTGTGTGAACATTGAGTCTGTGTGAGAGGATGGAAGGACGTTATTGATCAACATGTCAGAAAGAAAAGTCATCTTCAGATGGGCTGTAATGGAAGGTGAATAAACGTATTAACTATGATTTTCTTAAGGAAGCCACATGTTGGACATGAATTTATTAACGACATTCCCAGGTACAGTGAGCCCAGTGATCGGGTGTCCCACAAGTCCCCAGGTAGACTGTTTGTCATCAAACCAGAGGGACAGTGTTAGTCTTTGACTGACTGTGGCGTAAAACACTCATTTACATACTCGTACTGAGAATTAAATGTCCATCATGATTGCTACTGATTTCCATGTTTACAGTTTTAAACCAGTCACACAGTTACTGCAGCTTTAAGTGAGATACAGCTCTGTTGGAATAGGATCACATTCTTATAACCTCTGCTTGTTGTTACTGAGTAAACCATGGACTTTAGAATCATAACCTCCACATATCCTCATCGGTACAGTTTACTATAGTTTATTGCCACTTTAAGTGCTGCTTTAGGACAACAATTGTATGTACACCAGACACGGCACAAATCTATATGTCAAGCAAAACATAAATATCACATATAATATGTACAACAAATATTTACAGACTGTGCATTTAGGGCTTTAGTTATGCAACGCTTTCCATGTGAAGCAAGGTGTATCTCAGCCTGGCAAGATTAGGCAAGGCCTAGCAATCTGTGGAAACATTTGTCAAGGTGTAGTAATGTAACAAAGTGCCGCAAGATGTAACAAACTGTACAGAGGTGTAGCAACCAGCGACAAGGTGTGGCAATGCATGGCAAAGTGTACAAAGGTGTAGCAACGAGCGGCAAGGTGTGGCAACGTGTACAACGCTGAATCAATGTGGACCAAGACGTAGCAAGGTGTGCATAATTGTAGCAAGATTTGGAAGTGTGTGACAATGTGTTGCAAAAGGCACCCAGGTGTAGATGATGTGGCACGGAGTAATGACGTGTGTAGTAAGGTGTACTTAAGTGTAGCAAGGAGTAGTAAGATGTACTTATGTGTAGCAAGGAGTAGTAAGGTGTACTTAAGTGTAGCAATGAGTAGTAAGGTGTGCTTATGTGTAGCAAGGAGTAGTAAGATGTACTTAAGTGTAGCAAGGAGTCGTAAGGTGTACTTAAGTGTAGCAAGGAGTAATAAGGTGTACGTATGTATAGTAAGGAGTAGTAAGGTGTACTTAAGTGCAGCAATGAGTCGTAAGGTGTACTTATGTGTAGCAAGGAGTAGTAAGGTGTACTTAAGTGTAGCAAGGAGTAGTAAGGTGTACTTAAGTGTAGCAATGATTAGTTAGGTGTACTTAAGTGTAGCAAGGCGTAGTAAGGTGTACTTATGTGTAGCAAGGAGTCGTAAGGTGTACTTAAGTGTAGCAAGGCGTAGCAAACCTACACAGGCGTTATTCACAAATCAGGACAGAGTATCGAATGAACAGTGATGTCAGACACAGATATTTCACTGCGCAGCGGTTCCGTATTGTTCAACAGGCCAATCAATGTATTCTGTATTGGAGACTCTAGGTTATTTGGTCAGGGCGAGGTATCGCGGCGTAAACTTGTTCAGTTTCTCGTAGCCCGGATGAGATTCAGATTCTGGCTCAGCATAGGAATGATGTGTGGTGAGTTGGAACCGGAGGGGCGGTTTGGCAGCGGGTTCCGACCTGGGTAGAGTCTGGGGTGCCCGCTGGGACACGCCCTCCGTGTGGGCTGAAGACTGAGATGTTAGGTCCGGGTGATGTTGGCCCCTCTGATACGTCCGTCGTAGATGCCGTACCCTGATACAAGAGAAGGTTAATACAGCGTTGATGTTTGGTCGGACATGGATGACAATCCCCCCGTTATGTATAATTAACTCCGAGAGGATCAAATCTTCATTCTCACAGGAGACACGGGACACACTTTAATTGGGGCACATATTATCATATAAATAAATGTATTACACATTTTCATGTCTATTCATAAAGGCAGGAATTTGATGGAAGTCAACTTCTTTTTTTGTGTGATGGACACTATTCTTCATTTACATATTCTTCAATTCGACATTAAGTTCTAATGATAATAGTTTCTCCACGCATAATGCATGCTCGAAATATTATACAAATCTGATTATCTATTATCCTGTATAGGATCACTCTATTTTGAGAATGTTTCGAAAAGAAATTACCCTATATGTATAGATCTATCTACTCCCGACATGATGGATTATGCTTCTCGGTAATTATTCACCGTAACTTGTATTAGAGTTGGTGGTACCCCCCTCCTCCCTGGAAAACTAGCTCTCCCGGGATATCCCAAATATATATTTCAGCCTTCGCGGCGCGACACCAAGATATATGGAACTTTATAATAGATAGCTGATGTAATTTGTTAGTTATTTTTGTCATAATGCATAACATTCCATGTCAAAGGAATATGCTTAATTTTAGTTTTGTTGTGACCAAAAATATAGTTTCTCTTTTCTGTGTCCCGTCCGTCTCTAAAGTAGTTTATTTCCCCATCTCGTAGCTGAAGTCTTGAACCATTATGTCAGATACCCAAAGGATTGCAGTTGGAAAATTTCATTAAAAAAGTCTAATCAAATGATATATTGAACCATTACTCAAATACAAAATATGATCTTAGAATATGGTGTACGAAATAATGGGTCATTTCTGTTTTTCTCCATCATGAAGTGGTGATCGAAATTACTTGTATCATCAAAGTAATTTTCACACATCGGAACAGTTATCTAAAGTACTACACGTACTTTTCTTAGAATCTACATGGAACACTGATATCTCGTATAACTGGTACAGTGACTATCTCAGTATTTGTAGTAGGATGCGCGTGAAGTAGCTTCCGAGATAAGTTTCTCCGTGTTTCACACGCTGGTCCCGCTGAGCCGCTGTGATCGGGGTACGTACCTGGCAGCCAGACAGATGACGGCTATAATTGCTATAACAGCCAGGAGTGCCACTCCACCAATGATGCCGCAGAATAGTAACCGCTTCGTCGCTACTGAGGAGAGAACAAAATACAGAGTGCAAGGGTCGGACGTCATTTCAGCAATATGACGCTAAGTCGGCGTCAGACACATAGGTGGACCCCGCTCAAGTCGGCGTCAGACACATAGGTGGACCCCTCTCAAGTGGGTCTGGTGCTGGCAGACTGAGAATTAGTGCTTATTTACAGTTTTACAATAAAACCATTAAAACTGAACAGGTTTGGGTGGCATTTAAGAACAGCGTTGGGGACTGTCATTATAACCGGTTTCGTGACAAGACTTCACATAACCCCTTGGTCCCCGCGAACACGTCCTCAATGGAGTTGCAGGGAGGGATATAACGTAAGCCCCCAGTACTGCATGTGTATAATCAGAGACCATATAATAGATATTATATGGTCTCTGGTATAATACAGGGTCCAGATTGATGACCTTACTATTGTTACCTTACTATTGTTACCGCCGTTTTCTCGTAATGAGCATGGCTATGGTACTGGCAAACCTTGAAATATTCTCGGAGGGAATCGGGATTTGAACCGCGACCAATGGTTTTGGTGTGTTAAAGACAACTCTTCGGTGGACACAAACACAAACAAAGCGGACTACACAGTAATACTGCTAGCAGTAACTTACCAGACAAAGGGTCAGATGTCGGGGTCGACACTGATGGCTCTGGGTGAGGTGACAACGGTGGCAGTTCACAGATGAAGTGTTTCTTGAACTCACAGTCCACGTCGCTGAGTAGTGTTTGCCGAAATACGACACACGCCTTGCGGTCCTGGATACTGGGCTCGGACGCATGCCACAGTCTAGTGAAAAACGGTCTTGATTACAGATGGAAACAGAACATTGGCATTCATGCAGAATATTGTTGGTTAAAGATGGAAACAGTACATGGGCAATGCTGGAAACAGAACGTTTACATGGGTAATCTTGGAAACAGAACGTTTGCGTGGGTAATCTTGGATACTTATTGTTTAGAATTGAACCATGACACGACTAATGTTGAAGGCCAGGACCCCGTTTCACAAAGCTCTCGCAAGCCTAGGATCTTGTAACTTTTATCGTAGCATTCGTTCCTCCTCTGTGACAGGAGTTGATGAAACTGAATATTAACTTTATATTTGTTGGAAACAGAACATTTACTAAAGCAGCGTCTTCATGATTAGCTTCAAACAGATGTATTGTTTGTTGGCAGGGAATGGGCAGCCCCCTGTTTTAGATTACATGAATGCCAGGTTCCACTCTCCCCCCACCACCACAGCCTCCACCACCAAATACACCACCAGGCATGACATTTCAGCAGATCTGAAAGTGTCCGTGTAATCTTTGTTGATGCAGGATGGACACAACTGGCAACTGTGCTCTCTTCAACAAGTCACCAGCTCAGAACGTTACACGCAGACAAGTGCCATCTTCAGGGATAATGACCATTCCCTGGTCGGTGTTAAGGGGAAGGCAGCAGTGTGCACGAGGTTCCAAGGAATATGACTCCTGACCAAAACGGTCGGCAGACTCAGATAGGTTTGTTGGGCTATTTGTTACCCTGGATGAGTCGTAGGTTCGTCACTTACAGTAAAGAACAGCCATAGCTGTGGAAACGTCCAGCATCTCAGAAGAAGGCCTAGTCTGATCGGTCAGATGGCAAGGTGATCACTTTGATTGTCTCGCAAAATGTTAGACTAATATTGGCCGACATTATGCTAATCTGCTCAAGGAACAACATGAGAGTATCCAGTTATATTTCATGTAAAACTCACAATGAGTGTGATATCCCGGGACACCAATGTCTATATCTGTCTGTAATGGAGGACTGAACATCATCGGTATTCACCAGATTTGACGCTGTGAGATTTCCAACGCTTCCCAGCCTCAAAGGAAGAACTGTCTAGCAAGCATTATGTAGATCATGGAGGGGGTTGTTTTAAGTAACAGTTATTAGCCGATGTAAAGTGTTTAATGTTTGTGTGTTTGTTTGTTGTTTACCACCGCACGCAGCAATATTCCAGCTCTATGGCGGCGGTCTGTAAATAATCGAATCTGCACCAGACAATCCAGTGATTAACATCATGAGCGTATATCTACGCAACTGGGATACGAAGACGTGTCAACCAAATCAGCGAGCCTGGCCACCCGATCGCGTTAGTCGCCTCTTACGACAAGCATTGGTTGTTGAAGACCAATTCTAACCCGGATCTTCACAGGTCTAAAACCACCAATGGTCGTGATACATAAGGCAAAGATACGTACAAAGAGTTTGTATCAGCAGGTGTATTATCTACCCACGTCCAGCAGTCATTGACCCCAATCAGTCCGATCCACCACTGCAGCTGGGAGTCCTCGGTGGCGTTCCTGGACAGCCTAGTCCGCAGGGAGTCCGAGATCAGATCCTGTCACAGAATACTGATTATAGAAACCTTCTTATAATTACATATACTATATACAATAAGCCTCGTCCTGAGCAAACCTGTTCTGGTCGTACAAGTGAGACTCCTGACAAATATTTTCAGGCGCCACAATCTTTCTGGGTCCACATCCCACAAACATAGACTACAGGCCAACTGCAAACAATAGTTAAGATCATGTCATGAGGTTTTACGCTGTCATTGGCATACGTTTATTTCGACGTCTCAAGACACAACCATTCCTATCGAAGTGCCTATCGGGACTCAAAGTGAAACGACGTTGTGTACATCAATGACGTACACGCTGACGCTCCATGTAGACGATTTCTAATCGTCTGACAAGTGACTCGTTCTCCAACTGCCTGACGAATATTTACACCAATTTGATTGGTCGTTTCAGCCTAATTTTGCCGAGCCTGTTTCTGGATCGAAATGATTCTGTACTATCATAGATCTGGGACGCCATGAACGGATACTGCCGTCATCATGTGGGTTTGTTGTTGCAAATCACATACTATGGAACATTTAGTTCTAACAGCAACTGCCAGTCAACAAGTTATATCTGAACGCTTCCTTATATGGATATTTATACATTTTCCTTTCTGCACTAAAATACTGTTGACAAGAAACCGTACACTTTTTTGAGAGTTACTCATCGATGCTCAATATGCCAACATGTGTCACGGTCTCTATATACGTCCTGATAACAACCTACTTCCTCTGTGCGCGAGTTGATGATCAGTAGACTTCCGCCCATTTCCTCGCACGCCTGACGCCCCTCTCCCCACGTGATCTTGGTGCTGTTGCTGATGTAGTAACAAGACACCTCCTCCTCGAACCATACCGCGTTGCTAGGGCAACTGCATACAGCGCCACCTGGTGACAAAGTTGGGTGCATACTGTGCACGTCATATGATTGTTTTAAAGAATATAGCTTCCTGTAATATTCATTGACCATTGATGTGACTGGGTATATTCGTGATTATATTATAGACACCGAAGAGTAATTGATGTTTGGGTCGTGTATATATCCACTCACACAGGACATTAGATGGTATGAATTATAGTATGCCAGCATCTGACATCTCGTCAATGTCGTTTTCAATAAATGAGTGATCTTCATTTTGTTCAGGGGCGCTGGGTTAACCTAGTGCTTAAAGCTTTCGAAGACCCGTGTTCGATTCCCTCATGTGGAATGTGTGAAGCCCTGGAGTTACCAGCCCTGGAATATTGCTTGAAGCGTGTTAACCCCAACTCACTCACTCACTCACTCACTGCACTTGTTCATATTGGCCATGTTGAATATGTTCTCTTTCGCAGTTCGTTCAGAGCTCCATATGAAGTATCACGTCACAACGTGCTAATAAATCTCAAAATGGAGATGGCGGACGTGGTATATGTATGTGACGCCCCAAACTGAAAATGACTTTACGCCGCCATTAATGTGTTCGTTATAGAGTATAAAGTGTGTTCATTATAGTGTATAACGTGAGTTCATTATAGTGTATACCGTGTGTTCAATATAGTGTATAACGTGTGTTCACTATAGTGTATACCGTGTTCATTATAGTGTATAACGTGTGCTCATTATAGTGTATACTGTGTGTTCATTATAGTGTATAACGTGTGTTCATTATAGTGTATACCGTGTGTTCAATATATATGTGTTCATATAATACCGTGTGTTCACTATATAGTGTATACCGTGTGTTCAATATAGTGTATACCGTGTGTTCAATATAGTGTATAACGTGTGTTCATTATAGTGTATACCGTGTGTTCAATATAGTGTATACCGTGTGTTCATTATAGTGTATACCGTGTGTTCAATATAGTGTATAAGGTGTGTTCATTATAGTGTATAACGTGTGTTCATTATAGTGTATAACGTGAGTTCATTATAGTGTATACCGTGTGTTCAATATAGTGTATAACGTGTGTTCATTATAGTGTATACCGTGTGTTCAATATAGTGTATAACGTGTGTTCACTATAGTGTATACCGTGTTCATTATAGTGTATAACGTGTGTTCATTATAGTGTATACTGTGTGTTCATTATAGTGTATAACGTGTGTTCATTATAGTGTATACCGTGTGTTCAATATAATGTATAACGTGTGTTCACTATAGTGTATATCGCTGTGTGTTCAATATAGTGTATACCGTGTGTTCATTATAGTGTATAACGTGTGTTCATTATAGTGTATAACGTGAGTTCATTATAGTGTATAAGGTGTGTTCATTATAGTGTATAACGTGTGTTCATTATAGTGTATAACGTGTGTTCATTATAGTGAAAACGTGTATAGCGATGTGTTCATTATAGTGTATAACGTGTGTTCATTATAGTGTATAACGTGTGTTCATTATAGTGTATAACGTGTGTTCATTATAGTGTATAACGTCTGTTCATTATAGTGTATATCGTGTGTTCATTATAAGCTGTACATTACCGTGTATACCGGTGTTCATTATAGTGTAGTTCATTATAGTGTATAACGTGTGTTCATTATAGTGTATAACGTGTGTTCATTATAGTGTATAACCGTGTGTTCATTATAGTGTATATACGTGTGTTCATTATAGTGTATACCGTGTGTTCATTATAGTGTATAACGTGTGTTCATTATAGTGTATACCGTGTGTTCATTATAGTGTATAACGTGTGTTCATTATAGTGTATAACGTGTGTTCATTATAGTGTATAACGTGTGTTCATTATAGTGTATAACGTGTGTTCATTATAGTGTATAACGTGTGTTCATTATAGTGTATAACGTGTGTTCATTATAGTGTATAACGTGTGTTCATTATAGTGTATAACCGGTGTTCATTATAGTGTATACCGTGTGTTCATTATAGTGTATACCGTGTGTTCATTATAGTGTATAACGTGTGTTCATTATAGTGTATAACGTGTGTTCATTATAGTGTATAACGTGTGTTCATTATAGTGTATAACGTGTGTTCATTATAGTGTATACCGTGTGTTCATTATAGTGTATAACGTGTGTTCATTATAGTGTATAACGTGTGTTCATTATAGTGTATAACGTGTGTTCATTATAGTGTATACCGTGTGTTCATTATAGTGTATAACGTGTGTTCATTATAGTGTATAACGTGTGTTCATTATAGTGTATAACGTGTGTTCATTATAGTGTATAACGTGTGTTCATTATAGTGTATACCGTGTGTTCATTATAGTGTATAACGTGTGTTCATTATAGTGTATACCGTGTGTTCATTATAGTGTATAACGTGTGTTCATTATAGTGTATACCGTGTGTTCATTATAGTGTATAACGTGTGTTCATTATAGTGTATAACGTGTGTTCATTATAGTGTATAACGTGTGTTCATTATAGTGTATAACGTGTGTTCATTATAGTGTATAACGTGTGTTCATTATAGTGTATAACGTGTGTTCATTATAGTGTATACCGTGTGTTCATTATAGTGTATAACGTGTGTTCATTATAGTGTATAACGTGTGTTCATTATAGTGTATAACGTGTGTTCATTATAGTGTATATAGTGTGTGTTCATTATAGTGTATAACGTGTGTTCATTATAGTGTATAACGTGTGTTCATTATAGTGTATACCGTGTGTTCATTATAGTGTATAACGTGTGTTCATTATAGTGTATAGTGTATATAACGTGTGTTCATTATAGTGTATATACGTGTGTTCATTATAGTGTATAACGTGTGTTCATTATAGTGTATAACGTGTGTTCATTATAGTGTATACCGTGTGTTCATTATAGTGTATAACGTGTGTTCATTATAGTGTATAACGTGTGTTCATTATAGTGTATAACGTGTGTTCATTATAGTGTATACCGTGTGTTCATTATAGTGTATAACGTGTGTTCATTATAGTGTATAACGTGTGTTCATTATAGTGTATAACGTGTGTTCATTATAGTGTGTATAACGTGTGTTCATTATAGTGTATAACGTGTGTTCATTATAGTGTATAACGTGTGTTCATTATAGTGTATAACGTGTGTTCATTATAGTGTATAACGTGTGTTCATTATAGTGTATACCGTGTGTTCATTATAGTGTATAATTATAGTGTGTGTTCATTATAGTGTATAACCGTGTGTTCATATAGTGTATAACGTGTGTTCATTATAGTGTATAACGTGTGTTCATTATAGTGTATAACGTGTGTTCATTATAGTGTGTATAACGTGTGTTCATTATAGTGTATAACGTGTGTTCATTATAGTGTATACCGTGTGTTCATTATAGTGTATAACGTGTGTTCATTATAGTGTATAACGTGTGTTCATTATAGTGTATACCGTGTGTTCATTATAGTGTATATACGTGTGTTCATTATACCGTGTGTTCATTATAGTGTATAACGTGTGTTCATTATAGTGTATAACGTGTGTTCATTATAGTGTATAACGTGTGTTCATTATAGTGTATAACGTGTGTTCATTATAGTGTATAACGTGTGTTCATTATAGTGTATAACGTGTGTTCATTATAGTGTATAACGTGTGTTCATTATAGTGTATAACGTGTGTTCATTATAGTGTATAACGTGTGTTCATTATAGTGTATAACGTGTGTTCATTATAGTGTATAACGTGTGTTCATTATAGTGTATAACGTGTGTTCATTATAGTGTATAACGTGTGTTCATTATAGTGTATACCGTGTGTTCATTATAGTGTATAACGTGTGTTCATTATAGTGTATAACGTGTGTTCATTATAGTGTATACCGTGTGTTCATTATAGTGTATAACGTGTGTTCATTATAGTAACGTGTATAATTATGTGTTCATTATAGTGTATAACGTGTGTTCATTATAGTGTATAACGTGTGTTCATTATAGTGTATAACCGTGTGTGTTCATTATAGTGTATAATACCGTGTGTTCATTATAGTGTATAACGTGTGTTCATTATAGTGTATAACGTGTGTTCATTATAGTGTATAACGTGTGTTCATTATAGTGTATACCGTGTGTTCATTATAGTGTATAACGTATAACGTGTTCATTATAGTGTATAACGTGTGTTCATTATATAATGTGTATAACGTGTGTTCATTATAGTGTATAACGTGTGTTCATTATAGTGTATAACGTGTGTTCATTATAGTGTATAACGTGTGTTCATTATAGTGTATAACGTGTGTTCATTATAGTGTATAACGTGTGTTCATTATAGTGTATAACGTGTGTTCATTATAGTGTATTATAGTGTGTGTTTCATTATAGTGTATACCGTGTGTTCATTATAGTGTATAACGTGTGTTCATTATAGTGTATAACGTGTGTTCATTATATAGTGTATAACGTGTTATAGTTCATTATATAGTGTATAACGTGTGTTCATTATAGTGTATAACGTGTGTTCATTATAGTGTATAACGTGTGTTCATTATAGTGTATAACGTGTGTTCATTATAGTGTATAACGTGTGTTCATTATAGTGTATACCGTGTGTTCATTATAGTGTATAACGTGTGTTCATTATAGTGTATAACGTGTGTTCATTATAGTGTATAACGTGTGTTCATTATAGTGTATAACGTGTGTTCATTATAGTGTATAACGTGTGTTGATGATAGTGTATAACGTGTGTTCATTATAGTGTATACCGTGTGTTCATTATAGTGTATAACGTGTGTTCATTATAGTGTATAACGTGTGTTATAGTTATAGTGTATTATGTGTGTTCATTATAGGGTATAACATGTGTTCATTATAGAGTGTAACATGTGTTCATTATAGTGTATAAGATGTGTTGAATATAGTGTATACGGTGTGTTAATTATAGAGCATAACGTGTGTTCATTATAAAGTATAAGATGTGTTCATTTTATAGTATAACATGTGTTCATTGTAGAGAATGAGATGTGTTCATTATAGTGTAGAAGGTGAGTTCATCAAACAGTATAAGGTGTGTTCATTATAGTGTGTAACATGTGTTCATTATAGAGTGTAACATGTGTTCATTATAGAGAATAACGATGTGTTCATTATAGTGTATAAGATGAGTTGATCAAACAGTATAACGATGTGTTCATTATAGAGTATAACATGTGTTCAATATTAAGTGTAACGTGTGTTCATTAGTGTAGTGTGTTCAAGATAACGTGTTCATTATAGTGTATAACGTGTGTTCATTATAGTGTATAACGTGTGTTCATTATAGTGTGTTCATTATAGTGTACCGTTCATTATAGTGTATAACGTATGTATAACGTGTGTTCATTATAGTGTATATACGTGTGTTTCATTATAGTGTATACCGTGTGTTCATTATAGTGTATAACGTGTGTTCATTATAGTGTATAACGTGTAGTGTATTGTGTTCAGTGTATAACGTGTGTTCATTAACGTGTGTTCATTATAGTGTATAACGTGTGTTCATTATAGTGTATAACGTGTGTTCATTATAGTGTATAACGTGTGTTCATTATAGTGTATAACGTGTGTTCATTATAGTGTATAACGTGTGTTCATTATAGTGTATAACGTGTGTTCATTATAGTGTATAACGTGTGTTCATTATAGTGTATAACGTGTGTTCATTATAGTGTATAACGTGTGTTCATTATAGTGTATAACGTGTGTTCATTATAGTGTATAACGTGTGTTCATTATAGTGTATAACGTGTGTTCATTATAGTGTATAACGTGTGTTCATTATAGTGTATAACGTGTGTTCATTATAGTGTATAACGTGTGTTCATTATAGTATATAACGTGTGTTCATTATAGTGTGTTCATTATAGTGTATATTACGTGTGTTCATTATAGTGTATAACGTGTGTTCATTATAGTGTATTAACGTGTGTTCATTATAGTGTATAACGTGTGTTCATTATAGTGTATAACGTGTGTTGATGATAGTGTATAACGTGTGTTCAATATAGTGTATATCGTGTGTTCATTATAGTGTATAACGTGTCTTCATTATAGTGTATAACGAGTGTTTATTATAGTGTATAACGTGTGTTCATTATAGTGTATAACGTGCGTTCAATATAGTGTATACCGTGTGTTCATTATAGTGTATAACGTGTGTTCATTATAGTGTATAACGTGTGTTCATTATAGTGTATAACGTGTGTTAATTATAGTGTATAACGTGTGTTCATTATAGTGTATAACGTGTGTTCATTATAGTGTATAACGTGTGTTCATTATAGTGTATAACGTGTGTTCATTATAGTGTATAACGTGTGTTCATTATAGTGTATAACGTGTGTTCATTATAGTGTATAACGTGTGTTCATTATAGTGTATAACGTGTGTTCATTATAGTGTATAACGTGTGTTCATTATAGTGTATAACGTGTGTTCATTATAGCGTATAACGTGTGTTCATTATAGTGTATAACGTGTGTTCAATTATAGTGTATAACGTGTGTTCATTATAGTGTATACCGTGTGTTCATTATAGTGTATAACGTGTGTTCATTATAGTGTATAACGTGTGTTCATTATACTGTATAACGTGTGTTCATTATAGTGTATAACGTGTGTTGATGATAGTGTATAACGTGTGTTCATTATAGTGTATAACGTGTGTTCAATATAGTGTATACCGTGTGTTCATTATAGTGTATAACGTGTATTCATTATAGTGTATAACGTGTGTTCAATATAGTGTATTATGTGTGTTCATTATAGGGTATAACATGTGTTCATTATAGAGTGTAACATGTGTTCATTATAGTGTATAAGATGTGTTGAATATAGTGTATACGGTGTGTTAATTATAGAGCATAACGTGTGTTCATTATAAAGTATAAGATGTGTTCATTATAGAGTATAACGTGTGTTCATTATAGAGTATAACGTGTGTTCATTATAGTGTATAACGTGTGTTCATTATAGTGTATAACGTGTGTTCATTATAGTGTATAACGTGTGTTCATTATAGTGTATAATGTGTGTTCATTATAGTGTATATCGTGTGTTCATTATAGCGTATACCGTGTGTTCATTATAGCGTATAACGTCTGTTCATTATAGCGTATAACGTGTGTTCATTATAGTGTATAACGTGTGTTTTTTATAGTGTATAACGTGTGTTGATGATAGTGTATAACGTGTGTTCAATATAGTGTATATCGTGTGTTCATTATAGTGTATAACGTGTATTCATTATAGTGTATAACGTGTGTTCAATATAGTGTATTATGTGTGTTCATTGTAGTGTATAACATGTGTTCGTTATAGAGTGTAATATGTGTTCATTATAGTGTATAAAATGTGTTGAATATAGTGTATACGGTGTGTTAATTATAGAGCATAACGTGTGTTCATTATAAAGTATAAGATGTGTTCATTGTATAGTATAACATGTGTTCATTGTAGAGACTGAGATGTGTTCATTATAGTGTAGAAGATGAGTTCATCAAACAGTATAGGATGTGTTCATTATAGTGTGTAACATGTGTTCATTATAGAGTGTAACATGTGTTCATTGTAGAGAATAAGATGGGTTCATTATAGTGTAGAAGATGAGTTGATCAAACAGTATAAGATGTGTTCATTATAGAGTGTAACATGTGTTAAATATTAAGTGTAACATGTGTTCATTGTAGTGTTTAAGATGTGTTCATTGTAGAGTATAACGTGTGTTCAATATAGTGTATAACGTGTTTTCATTATAGTGTATAACGTGTGTTCATTACAGTGTATAACGTGTGTTCATTATAGTATATAACGTGTGTTCATTATGGTGTATACCGTGTGTTCATTATAGTGTATAACGTGTGTTCATTATAGTGTATAACGTGTGTTCATTATAGTGTATACCGTGTGTTCATTATAGTGTATACCGTGTGTTCATTATAGCGTATAACGTGTGTTCATTATAGTGTATACCGTGTGTTCATTATAGTGTATAACATGTGTTCATTATAATGTATATCGTGTGTTCATTATGGTGTATACCGTGTTCATTATAGTGTATAACGTGTCTTCATTATAGTGCATACCGTGTGTTCATTATAGTGTATAATGTGTGTTCATTATAGTGTATACTGTGTGTTGATGATAGTGTATAACGAGTGTTGATGATAGTGTATAACGTGTGTTGATGATAGTGTATAACGTGTGTTCATTATAGTGTATACCGTGTGTTGATTATAGTGTATACCGTGTGTTCATTATAGTGTATAACGTGTGTTCATTATAGTGTATTCCGTGTGTTCATTATAGTGTATAATGTGTGTTTTTTATAGTGTATAACGTGTGTTGATTATAGTGTATAACGTGTGTTCAGTATAGTGTATAATGTGTCTTCATTATAGTGTATACCGTGTGTTCATTATAGTGTATAACGTGTGTCCAATATAGTGTATTATGTGTGTTCATTATAGAGTCTAACATGTGTTCATTATAGATTGTAACATGTGTTCATTATAGTGTATAAGATGTGTTCCATATAGTGTATACGGTGTGTTAATTATAGAGCATAACGTGTGTTCATTATAAAGTATAAGATGTGTTCATTGTATAGTATAACATGTGTTCATTGTAGAGAATAAGATGTGTTCATTATAGTGTAGAAGATGAGTTCATCAAACAGTATAAGATGTGTTCATTGTAGTGTATAAGATGTGTTCATTATTAAGTGTAACATGTGTTCATTGTAGTGTATAAGATGTGTTCATTATAGAGTATAACATGTGTTTATGATATAGTATAACATGTGTTTATGATATAGTATAACATGTGTTCATTATAGAGTATAACGTTTTTTCATTATAGTTCGTTTCCAGGCTTCAGAAGCTGTAATCTTGCTAGAGTGCGGTTTGTGTAATTCTTCCAAGTTAGCAAAATTGATGCTAACAATAGTGAATTAAACTTAATTAATGAATGAAATAAAATTTATGAAACAGATTACACAAAGGTCAAGATACAGTTTGTCTAACACCAGAATTGATATCTTTTTATCAATAGTTTCACAAAATTAGCTTTGATAACTTGCAGAATTAGCACTGATGTTTGATATTTTGATCCCGTGGTTTGCAGTTAAGGCTGTTGTCAGCCAGTCGAAACAATCTCATGGAGGAAAACATTCCCGATTTACAGCAGTCCTCTAAGAGGCCTACGACTAGATACAACATATCGTACAAAGGGCAATGCTCATCTCAGATATACATGTTTTGAAAGGACTTCAGAAACACATATAGAAACTGCAGTTAATCTCTCAAAATTGTCTACACTGTGATAATATCGAAGGAACTCACCTATTAAACAGAAGACAATTAACCCAGTGATGCTCTCCATAGCTCCTTTACTCCTCACAAGGTGTGCGAGTCCCCCTACTCTCCACGGGTCATGTCAGAGTTCTTCCTGACCGGAAGTGACCTCGACTGATTTCAAGTGACTGACGCATTTGACCTACTTCAAATACTTACACTGTCTCAGATTGTTTTGCCTGACATTGTTGAATTTATTCTGATTCAAAGTCCATCTTCTTTATGTGTTGATGCACTGAACGCAAAGTAATAACGTCATTAAACTACCGAATAACGCCAGGAAATAATATATTGTGTGTGGATTATTAGTATCGAAAATCTAAATGTTCACGTTCATCTATTGAAATGATTTCGAATCCCAGAAACTCGAGATTTGCATCCGGGGTCTCCCGGACCACACTAAGCCCCAGTAGGTCTACACTGAGATGCAATGGCGATACTGCTTCTAAAACCTAACTCGACTAATTCCGCTACAAAGATCGAGATAGTGGGGTTCCTAAGTGTCTCTGGTAGTCATGGTCGCTGCCAACCTAACGATATAGCGACACAGCGGGGTTTCTAAGTGTAAGTGGCAGACATGGTAGACATATTGAGATGACAGGGTCCCTTGGTATTGTGGGTTTCGATACGGCTGCTGGTTGTGACGAAAAACAATTATGTACCAAAGCCTATTCGTCTCCCCTCGCCGCCATCTTTGACGATTTGTATGCCGTTTCGGGATGCTATGACTGCCGTGTTGGGATGCTATGAATGCCGTTTTGTACGCTCGGCGACCGTTCTCGCGCGCTCTTGTAGCTGATACGCGAGTTTTGTTTCCATTTCAAACGATTAGTCTTCCATTACAGATGTATTGTTTCGGTTTTAGAGGATATTGTTGCAGTTTTTGTGGTTTTTGTTCTGTTTTGGTGTATATGAGTTCAGTTTTGATGATTGGTTCACCGTTTGTATGGTAGGCCTGTTAGTGTACTGAAAGAACCCCAACAAGGCGCCTGTTACGAGGTATGTCAGCACGGGTGTGCAAGTTACATTCACAGTGCTGGACGTAGAGGAAGTGACTAAAAGTGACTGGCAATAATGTTATTTCCACTTGCTTCCTTTGGGCGACATTGTGCATGACATCAGCGATTTCCTTTGACACCAACGAATCAGAGACCCGGTGGTCAAATAGAACAGGAACCACCAGCAGTTATAGTAGTGTACAACACTGCCCCGTCTCCGAGTCCTACTTGACCACGTTCAAAGACGCACGGCTACATGACCACGTTCACAGACGCTCAGCTACTTAACCACGTTCACAGACGCACGGCTACTTGAACACGTTCACAGACGCTCAGCTACATGACCCGGTTCAAAGATGTTCAGCTGCTTGACAACGTTTACAGACGTTCAGTTGTATCACTGTGGGTTTTTTAAGTCCATAAACGCAAAAATGCAGTGACGACATCAACAACAATCACTTCAACTACTGCCTAGTTTACTACTCACACGCAAACAACTGAGAATCAGTATGAAATCAGTGACATCGTGACACAGTATGATAAGGCAACACTAGGCCCGCCCATTGTATTATCAGGGAAACAGCAGTCTAGTAGTGGCTGTGTGGTTTTCGGTAATCACAACACATTGGCTGTTTCCTCAATGAATCGCCACGGACTCATTTGACGTATGTCAATATGACCAAACTGTCAAACTGTAACATATGTTATATTTGGGATGACACTTTCTCTATAAAGAACAGATTATAGTACTTTTGTTGGGTTGAGTCCCATCCGGGATTCGAACCCTCACTCCCAGTGTCAGACACCTAATCGCCAGCACGCAAAGTCAGCGATCTAACCCACTCAGCCAGCGCGGCTTCCACAAAGTACTAGAATCTGTCCTTTATTGAGAAAGTGTAATCCCAAATATAACGTGTTATATTTGACAACTTTCTAAATGGCAGTGTGTGTTCCTGTCAAACTCAGCACATTTCAGTGATCAGCACAATTGTCAAGCAACGTGACTTTAAATATCTCATCTGACATCTTTTTCAAGTTTATCCCCATACAGAACGAGTAAAGTACGGTGCTCAGCGAATGTTGAAATAAATGTCAGAATGAAGATTGTCCTGTATATCGTAGAGATTCCCTGTATAGATCACATTGTTTGTCTTATGAAGAACACACGATGTTTCCCTTGACTAAGTTCAACCATCTGCTGTCCCGGTAAAGACACCATCGTTTGCCAGCGACACCCAAAGATTCGCCATCCTCTTTCTCACACAAAATGTACTCGTTGTTACCAATGCACACTGATGAAGCATACCTCCATATTCGGTCCTCATGGACATATTTCGTAAGTCCTGCGATCCTAAGCTCATTTAGAATGATCCTATTTTTCAACACCTTCATCAACCTTCAGCCATTACTCTCAGCCACGGGTACAACGTAAATAGACATATCTACAGAGGGGCGTGCTGGTCAGAAATCTCTTACCGTTCAGTTCCTAAAGTGGCCGACACTTGTATTGTAGTCATAGCTGCGTGGCTCATAATTTGTCGAATATGTTTCCACAATTGTCTGAAGTAAACTATCTGTCTTTGGGACGTCATTTAATATCAGTCATTTCTACAGTAAATGAAATCACCTAGCCCCCTAGATAGTTGCTCTATTCGTCACATGTTTGTATTAAATAATTCCTGTCTTCCTCTCAGCTTCCTTCAACGGAAACATGACGAATTTTTTCGAAAGACATCTTAGGAATAATATAGTTGTCTAATGTATCAATGTTTTTCAGGATAAAAAGGGGAATTAAGCTTTCATTTTGGTCTATATGTCACTGACATATTTGACAGAATGTTTGTAATCGAAGCAAAATGGAAACATTCTGACATTATTAAATAAACTTCAATAAATGTACACACAACCAGCACACGTTGATTTAATTATCAATAATAATTAAGAATAATTAAGAATATTTATAACGTCAGGCTTCATATCCTGCTCGAAGCGCATAATCTGATGATTATTACCCCAGATAACCCAAGCTGCCTGTTATGCGCCAGAAGGTTATAGTCACATGACTTATCCCACCGAGTACCCATTTTCTGCTGGGTGAATAGAGGCAATTTTGAACAAACTCACTTTCAAACGATTAGTCTTCCATTACAGATGTATTGTTTCGGTTTTAGAGGATATTGTTGCAGTTTTTGTGGTTTTTGTTCTGTTTTGGTGTATATGAGTTCAGTTTTGATGATTGGTTCACCGTTTGTATGGTAGGCCTGTTAGTGTACTGAAAGAACCCCAACAAGGCGCCTGTTACGAGGTATGTCAGCACGGGTGTGCAAGTTACATTCACAGTGCTGGACGTAGAGGAAGTGACTAAAAGTGACTGGCAATAATGTTATTTCCACTTGCTTCCTTTGGGCGACATTGTGCATGACATCAGCGATTTCCTTTGACACCAACGAATCAGAGACCTGGTAGTCAAATAGAACAGGAACCACCAGCAGTTATAGTAGTGTACAACACTGCCCCGTCTCCGAGTCCTACTTGACCACGTTCAAAGACGCACGGCTACATGACCACGTTCACAGACGCTCAGCTACTTAACCACGTTCACAGACGCTCAGCTACTTGACCACGTTCACAGACGCTCAGCTACTTGACCACGTTCACAGACGCACGGCTACTTGAACACGTTCACAGACGCTCAGCTACATGACCCGGTTCAAAGATGTTCAGCTGCTTGACAACGTTCACAGACGTTCAGTTGTATTACTGTGGGTTTTTTAAGTCCATAAACGCAAAAATACAGTGACGACATCAACAACAATCACTTCAACTACTGCCTAGTTTACTACTCACACGCAAACAACTGAGAATCAGTATGAAATCAGTGACATCGTGACACAGTATGATAAGGCAACACTAGGCCCGCCCATTGTATTATCAGGGAAACAGCAGTCTAGTTGTGGCTGTGTGGTTTTCGGTAATCACAACACATTGGCTGTTTCCTCAATGAATCGCCACGGACTCATTTGACGTATGTCAATATGACCAAACTGTCAAACTGTAACATATGTTATATTTGGGATGACACTTTCTCTATAAAGAACAGATTATAGTACTTTTGTTGGGTTGAGTCCCATCCGGGATTCGAACCCTCAGTCCCAGTGTCAGACACCTAATCGCCAGCACGCAAAGTCAGCGATCTAACCCACTCAGCCAGCGCGGCTTCCACAAAGTACTAGAATCTGTCCTTTATTGAGAAAGTGTAATCCCAAATATAACGTGTTATATTTGACAACTTTCTAAATGGCAGTGTGTGTTCCTGTCAAACTCAGCACATTTCAGTGATCAGCACAATTGTCAAGCAACGTGACTATAAATATCTCATCTGACATCTTTTTCAAGTTTATCCCCATACAGAACGAGTAAAATACGGTGCTCAGCGAATGTTGAAATAAATGTCAGAATGAAGATTGTCCTGTATATCGTAGAGATTCCCTGTATAGATCACATTGTTTGTCTTATGAAGAACACACGATGTTTCCCTTGACTAAGTTCAACCATCTGCTGTCCCGGTAAAGACACCATCGTTTGCCAGCGACACCCAAAGATTCGCCATCCTCTTTCTCACACAAAATGTACTCGTTGTTACCAATGCACACTGATGAAGCATACCTCCATATTCGGTCCTCATGGACATATTTCGTAAGTCCTGCGATCCTAAGCTCATTTAGAATGATCCTATTTTTCAACACCTTCATCAACCTTCAGCCATTACTCTCAGCCACGGGTACAACGTAAATAGACATATCTACAGAGGGGGCGTGCTGGTCAGAAATCTCTTACCGTTCAGTTCCTAAAGTGGCCGACACTTGTATTGTAGTCATAGCTGCGTGGCTCATAATTTGTCGAATATGTTTCCACAATTGTCTGAAGTAAACTATCTGTCTTTGGGACGTCATTTAATATCAGTCATTTCTACAGTAAATGAAATCACCTAGCCCCCTAGATAGTTGCTCTATTCGTCACATGTTTGTATTAAATAATTCCCGTCTTCCTCTCAGCTTCCTTCAACGGAAACATGACGAATTTTTTCGAAAGACATCTTAGGAATAATATAGTTGTCTAATGTATCAATGTTTTTCAGGATAAAAAGGGGAATTAAGCTTTCATTTTGGTCTATATGTCACTGACATATTTGACAGAATGTTTGTAATCGAAGCAAAATGGAAACATTCTGACATTATTAAATAAACTTCAATAAATGTACACACAACCAGCACACGTTGATTTAATTATCAATAATAATTAAGAATAATTAAGAATATTTATAACGTCAGGCTTCATATCCTGCTCGAAGCGCATAATCTGATGATTATTACCCCGGATAACCCAAGCTGCCTGTTATGCGCCAGAAGGTTATAGTCACATGACTTATCCCACCGAGTACCCATTTTCTGCTGGGTGAATAGAGGCAATTTTGAACAAACTCACTTGCCTAAGTTGAGACCACATGTATCACATGTGCTTCGTTGTGGGGCAGGACTGAAGTCCTAGCAACACTCAGGAGTCAAGCTGCCAAACACGGTGATCCATCCAAGAACTCTCCGCGCCCAACGTTGCTTAACTTCAACTGATTTGTAACCTGAGCTCTATGCACAGCACCACACACCACCACATTTCAGGAAGTTGTCGGAACGAGTGAACCAGAGTGGTCTCTTGCCGCAGCAACTTATCATCTCGGGTTCGAATCCCAGGTCGCTCTGATTCTAGGTTTGTCTGCACCAAACCCTTACTGCTCGTGTGTCAACGTCTAGGACTTGCATCCCTGCATTTTCCCATTCCACTGACAAGCGATGATGTATTATAACTACTGTTCAAAGCGGCATTAAATAAAACAAAGCTCACTCACTCACTCACTACAATCACGTAGTGGCCATGCGCAACACGTTGTTTACCTCGTCACAGACCAGGTTGCCAGATACGTGATATCGTAACATAACATCTATATCTAACCTGGCAGTTATCAGTGTTGACCGACACACTCAGTACAGCCTGTTTAGCCAGGAATACACGGGTTGACACAGAACACCATCGACAATCCATTTTCCTAAAATAACACAAAGCCAAACTGCCTCTTGGAGACACAGGTATCTTGGAACTGTCAATCACCGATCGACTCGAGGTGGTTTTTGCGCATGATTACTGCGACTGTCACAAACAGTATGGCGGCGACGACGACGACGCTAGCTTTGCTCTCACTGTGTGCTATCGTAAGTGGATTGCAGTTCAATGGGCAAAACAGATTTGGCAACAAACTCGACGATAATGTCAATTCACATGACATTAACAAACGTTCAGAGAAAGGTAAAACTTTAACAGATGAGGGTTGGTAATTATGTTTTTCCAGGTATTCTCATTACCACTGGATGGCTTCCAGGCTGTTCGACTCGACGTATTGTGAGATAACATATCGTGTGTAACTGTTTGTGTGATCAGTGTAGTGTGTGTAGCAGATTTCTGTTCATATCACCCGTTTGCCTACACTCACGGATTCATCTATGTAAAACGCAACAACGTGTTTGTTCTGCCTTGGAATTATGCTTGTCCTCTTTGTGTTCTGTCGTTGGTGACACTACCGTCTATGTGAAGAACAAGTATAATGTATTACTGCCAACTGTCAATCCTATTACCATTTGACCGCCCGGTTAGAACAACAGCGAATGTTCTCAATCATTCATTTTTCATTCTTTCATTCTTTCATGAGTGAATGAGGTTTGGCACCCATTAAGCAGGATTTAACATTGTACTTGAAGATATCGAACTCGGACTGTAACTCTGTAACAGAAGTATTTAGATTCAACATTTGTCCCACAACATAAACGGCCTGAGTAGCAGACTCACGTTTCTAACCTTAACTATAATGAAAATTGTACAGGATCTCAATGTCTGCATGAGGAGCAGAAGGTTGCGGAGTGTATTCTTACTCCTCCGGCGGGTGAATGAACGCTAGGAGAGCAGATGTCAACAATAGTTATCATATCATCAAAAGTGATAACATAACAATGGTGGAGATATTACAGGGGAAACCAGTAGTCAAGTGATGCTGACAGGTAAATACAAGTCAGGAGTAACTCCAAGTGTAAGTAGCACTGACAGGTGAAAGACAAAACACCAACGGCTATATTCCCTGGCCACGGTTGTGGGCTAATTGGAATCTCCTGATGTCTTTGGCTTCTTGTAGCTTCTTCCATGGACACCAGTGCTTGTTGATGGTGGACAGGACTTTAGTAGATTCCCAGATGATGGCGTAGTCTGGCTGTTACAGTTGCAAGGTGTGGTATGTGCATCCTCTATGGTAGGGGATTGCGATGTAGGTTCTGTTGGCGTCTATGTTGGCTTTATTTTTCCTGAGGCGGAATCTGATGACTGACAGGTCCTTGGTAAGTATGGTGATCTTGATGGTTGATTGGATTGGTCTGTGTCTTGGCTGATGGTTTTTGAGACTAGGTGGTAGGGGCAACACTTAGGGAACACACTGTAGTTCTACAATCATGAGGGTTAAAAGAAGCTATTTATTCCTTGTTTACACAAACAGATCACGTGTTGTTGAACACATAAACTCAGGTTTACGATCTCGTGATTATAGCCCTTGGCGCTTTCTGTTAAATTTTCATCAATATAAGTAACGTACGTACAGTCCGCTGCTGTAGCAGTTTTGACAGATATGTTTACCTACCATTCGACTTCATGACATGGCTTTCTCCATTTAGGCTCGGATGTATATTCTCACCTGGCAGCTCTGAGTGGTGGATCTGTGATTGGCAGCAACAAGACAGATGTAGACCACGCCTCCAGTATTACAGTGGCTGAAGCAGCTCTGGTGGGTGTGTAGATGGTATTGGGAGAAGGAGGAGAGAATGTAAGGTTGATGATACCAAGACAGATGTAGACCACGCCTCCAGTATTACAGTGGCTGAAGCGGCTCTGGTGGGTGTGTAGATGGTATTGGGAGAGGAGGAGAGAATGTAAGGTTGATGATACCAAGACAGATGTAGACGCCTCCAGTATGTGAAGCAGCTTGGTGGGTGTGTAATGGTATTGGGAGAAGGAGGAGAGAATGTAAGGTTGATGATACCAAGACAGATGTAGACCACGCCTCCAGTATTACAGTGGCTGAAGCAGCTCTGGTGGGTGTGTAGATGGTATTGGGAGGAGGAGGAGAGAATGTAAGGTTGATGATACCAAGACAGATGTAGACCACGCCTCAGTATTACAGTGGCTGAAGCAGCTCTGGTGGGTGTGTAGATGGTATTGGGAGGAGGAGGAGAGAATGTAAGGTTGATGATACCAAGACAGATGTAGACCACGCCTCCAGTATTACAGTGGCTGAAGCAGCTCTGGTGGGTGTGTAGATGGTATTGGGAGGAGGAGGAGAGAATGTAAGGTTGATGATACCAAGACAGATGTAGACCACGCCTCCAGTATTACAGTGGCTGAAGCAGCTCTGGTGGGTGTGGAGATGGTATTGGGAGGAGGAGGAGAGAATGTAAGGTTGATGATACCAAGACAGATGTAGACCACGCCTCCAGTATTACAGTGGCTGAAGCAGCTCTGGTGGGTGTGTAGATGGTATTGGGAGGAGGAGGAGAGAATGTAAGGTTGATGATACCAAGACAGATGTAGACCACGCCTCCAGTATTACAGTGGCTGTAGCAGCTCTGGTGGGTGTGTAGATGGTATTGGGAGGAGGAGAGAATGAAAGGTTGATGATACCAAGACAGATGTAGACCACGCCTCCAGTATTACAGTGGCTGAAGCAGCTCTGGTGGGTGTGTAGATGGTATTGGGAGGAGGAGAGAATGTAAGGTTGATGATACCAAGACAGATGTAGACCAAGCCTCCAGTATTACAGTGGCTGAAGCAGCTCTGGTGGGTGTGTAGATGGTATTGGGAGGAGGAGGAGAGAATGTAAAGTTGATGATACCAAGACAGATGTAGACCACGCCTCCAGTATTACAGTGGCTGAAGCAGCTCTGGTGGGTGTGGAGATGGAATTGGGAGGAGGAGGAGAGAATGTAAGGTTGATGATACCAAGACAGATGTAGACCACGCCTCCAGTATTACAGTGGCTGAAGCAGCTCTGGTGGGTGTGGAGATGGTATTGGGAGGAGGAGGAGAGAATGTAAAGTTGATGATACCAAGACAGATGTAGACCACGCCTCCAGTATTACAGTGGATGAAGCAGCTCTGGTGGGTGTGTAGATGGTATTGGGAGGAGGAGGAGAGAATGTAAGGTTGATGATACCAAGACAGATGTAGACCACGCCTCCAGTATTACAGTGGCTGAAGCAGCTCTGGTTGGTGTGTAGATGGTATTGGGAGGAGGAGAGAATGTAAGGTTGATGATACCAAGACAGGTGTAGACCACGCCTCCAGTATTACAGTGGCTGAAGCAGCTCTGGTGGGTGTGTAGATGGTATTGGGAGGAGGAGGAGAGAATGTAAGGTTGATGATACCAAGACAGATGTAGACCACGCCTCCAGTATTACAGTGGCTGAAGTAGCTCTGGTGGGTGTGTAGATGTGATTGGGAGGAGGAGGGAGGTTTAAAGTTGATGATACCAAGACAGATGTAGACCACGCCTCCAGTATAACAGTGGCTGAAGTAGCTCTGGTGGGTGTGTAGATGGTATTGGGAGGAGGAGGAGGAGAGAATGTAAAGTTGATGATACCAAGACAGATGTAGACCACGCCTCCAGTATTACAGTGGCTGAAGCAGCTCTGGTGGGTGTGTAGATGGTATTGGGAGGAGGAGGAGAGAATGTAAGGTTGATGATACCAAGACAGATGTAGACCACGCCTCCAGTATTACAGTGGCTGAAGCAGCTCTGGTGGGTGTGGAGATGGTATTGGGAGGAGGAGGAGAGAATATAAGGTTGATGATAGCAAGACAGACATAGACCACGCCTCCAGTATTACAGTTGCTGAAGCTTATGTAAAGGCACAGCTCTGGTGGGTGTGGAGATGGTATTGGGAGGAGGAGGAGAGAATGTAAGGTTGATGATACCAAGACAGATGTAGACCACGCCTCCAGTATTACAGTGGCTGAAGCAGCTCTGGTGGGTGTGGGAGATGGTATTGGGAGGAGGAGGAGAAATGTAAGGTTGATGATACCAAGACAGATGTAGACCACGCCTCCAGTATTACAGTGGCTGAAGCAGCTCTGGTGGGTGTGTAGATGGTATTGGGAGGAGGAGGAGAGAATGTAAAGTTGATGATACCAAGACAGATGTAGACCACGCCTCCAGTATTACAGTGGCTGAAGCAGCTCTGGTGGGTGTGTAGATGGTATTGGGAGGAGGAGGAGAGAATGTAAGGTTGATGATACCAAGACAGATGTAGACCACGCCTCCAGTATTACAGTGGCTGAAGTAGCTCTGGTGGGTGTGTAGATGGTATTGGGGAGGAGGAGGAGAAATGTAAGGTTGATGATACCAAGACAGATGTAGACCACGCCTCCAGTATTACAGTGGCTGAAGCAGCTCTGGTGGGTGTGGAGATGGTAGTATTGGGAGGAGGAGGAGAGAATGTAAGGTTGATGATACCAAGACAGATGTAGACCACGCCTCCAGTATTACAGTGGCTGAAGCAGCTCTGGTGGGTTTGTAGATGGTATTGGGAGGAGGAGGAGAGAATGTAAGGTTGATGATACCAAGACAGATGTAGACCACGCCTCCAGTATTACAGTGGCTGAAGCAGCTCTGGTGGGTGTGTAGATGGTATTGGGAGGAGGAGGAGAGAATGTAAGGTTGATGATACCAAGACAGATGTAGACCACGCCTCCAGTATTACAGTGGCTGAAGCAGCTCTGGTGGGTGTGTAGATGGTATTGGGAGGAGGAGGAGAGAATGTAAAGTTGATGATACCAAGACAGATGTAGACCACGCCTCCAGTATTACAGTGGCTGAAGCAGCTCTGGTGGGTGTGTAGATGGTATTGGGAGGAGGAGGAGAGAATGTAAGGTTGATGATACCAAGACAGATGTAGACCACGCCTCCAGTATTACAGTTGCTGAAGCAGCTCTGGTGGGTGTGGAGATGGTATTGGGAGGAGGAGGAGGAGAGAATGTAAGGTTGATGATACCAAGACAGATGTAGACCACGCCTCCAGTACCAGTGGCTGCAGCTCTGGTGGGTGTGTAGATGGTATTGGGAGGAGGAGGAGAGAATGTAAAGTTGATGATACCAAGACAGATGACCACGCTCCAGTATTACAGTGGCTGAAGCTCTGGTGGGTGTGTAGATGGTATTGGGGAGGAGGAGGAGAGAATGTAAGGTTGATGATACCAAGACAGATGTAGACCACGCCTCCAGTATTACAGTGGCTGAAGTAGCTCTGGTGGGTGTGTAGATGGTATTGGGAGGAGGAGAGAATGTAAGGTTGATGATACCAAGACAGATGTGACCAGACCACGCCTCCAGTATTACAGTGGCTGAAGCAGCTCTGGTGGGTGTGGAGATGGTATTGGGAGGAGGAGGAGAGAATGTAAGGTTGATGATACCAAGACAGATGTAGACCACGCCTCCAGTATTACAGTGGCTGAAGCAGCTCTGGTGGGTGTGTAGATGGTATTGGGAGGAGGAGGAGAGAATGTAAAGTTGATGATACCAAGACAGATGTAGACCACGCCTCCAGTATGACAGTGGCTGAAGCAGCTCTGGTGGGTGTGTAGATGTGATTGGGAGGAGGAGGGAGGTTTAAAGTTGACGGTAACCTAGATCTAGACCCAGCGACCAGTATTACAGTAGCTAAACTTGCTCTGGTGGGTGCGTAGATGGGGATTGCAGACGGAGAGGACTTAAGATTGACGGTAACATGATATCAACCACGCCTCAAGTACCACAGCTGCTGAAGCAGCTCTGGTGGGTGTGGAGATGGTGATGTGAGGAGGAGGGGTTTCAACATTGACGGTTATCGATAAAGAGCATGCATCCATGATCATAGTGGGCTTAAAGAGTTCTAGGAGAAATATTCGAGAGAGATGATTGGAATGACGTATGTAGGCCATGCCCCTTGAATCGCATGTATGGTCAAGTACACCTATCAGTTCTGACGTTGCGCTACAACGATGTCAGATCAGCAACAGTGTACACTGTGCTCTAGAATACAAGACAATATAAATGTTCTGCACATAAATGCAAATATACTCAATATTATTTTCCTGTCAAGACGTCGCCTGTAACAGTCATGGTGACCCATGTAAACGCTGCAACTTCACGTGACGTGACTTTCAGCGTGGACTCTGCCCTTACATTGATTCTTGTGGAGGTCACGGGTCACGTCACCAAGTCATCCATCGAACTCTCAGACCCTACAGGTCAGTGTTTTGACTACATCAACATGACCCAATTATCTTGATTCTGTATAACATCTGTACGTCGAATCAATCACATACACGTTCCAAAAAGGCCTAAAGATGCTAACAGTTCCTCATGTTAATTGTATACCTTCGTATGTAAACAGTATACAAAATCAAAGCGCAACATACTTTCAGTAGCACATCACATAAGGAATGTGTATGTAGCTGATCATAAGTAAAGAGTAAAGAGTGCTTCGCAATGGGGACCGTGGCATCACGTTCACGGTGGTGATTCTGCGAGTTGTCTTGGATGGAGGTGAAATATGACTTACTAAAACTATGGCGCTATTTCCTTCTTTCAGGAGTGGCTATAGATACACTGGCTGTCGACAGTGCAGGGGCACTTGTGTACAAGATAGTCAAGCCCACCCCAGGTAGGACAGTGAAATATCACATATTCACAAGTGAGAGAGTGAGTTTGGTTTTAAGCTGTTTTAAAACAGAATGTCAGTAACATCACTCAGGGGCAGATACAGCATTTTGAGAGAGAAGCAGTGTTCAGTTCCGAAAGGGGGGTCGGGGTGGGGGTGTGCACAATTCAGTTTCACCCATTTTCTTGAGAGTTTCAATGGTCATTTAATAAACTTTAAGAGGGTGCGCACCCCCAACCATCTGTGCCCATTGACGCATCTAATCCAACTCTCTTTCGCTTAGGTAACTGGACACTTCACTTCAGCGACAAGCTGCAATATGACGTCATCGTCAAAGGGAACAGTGACGTCAGTTTTCAGTCTCAGTTCGTGAAGGTGAATCCAGTCACAGGTTACGACATCTCTGTCCCCGGAAATCCTCCTGCAGGTGCGTGGTCGTCACGGTTCTGTATCGTGAACATTTGAATCATGTTATCGAGGTATATTTTCCGCATGACAAGATGGTGTTGGTGAACAACGTCTTCACATTTCTCTGCCTTCAGGGACAAATCTAACCCTGGCAATAGAAGTTAATGGTGCCGACAAAACACAGAATATCACGAGTGTGACGTTGTATACACTGAATGGTGACGTCATCAAATCTGCAGTTCTGACACATGTGGGACGAAGGGGCGCCCTCTATAAGGCAGCAATGATCCTGCCAGCACAGGTACGTGTACCCAGCTCCTGTAACGTGTATTTCAATCGTGTTTCTCATTTGAAAAGGTAGGTTAATATAAGTGTAACTGTGTCCAATGTGCAAAATGTTACGAGTAATTCGTTCAGTGACGTCATCTTGCCATGTCAAATCCTGTTACATCCACTGTAACACCTGTCTCCATCACTGTGTAACACCCACTGTAACACCTGTCTTTCTCATTGTGTAACAGCCACTGTAACACCTGTCTCTCACACTGTAACACCCACCGTAACACCTGTCTCCATCACTGTGTAACACCCACTGTAACACCTGTCTCCATCACTGTGTAACACCCACTGTAACACCTGTCTCCATCACTGCGTAACACCCACTGTAACACCCGTCTTTCTCACTGTGTAACATCCACTGTAACACCTGTCTTTCTCACTGTGTAACACCCACTGTAACACCTGTCTTTCTCACTGTGTAACATCCACTGTAACACCTGTCTCCATCACTGTGTAACACCCACTGTAACACCTGTCTTTCTCACTATGTAACATCCACTGTAACACCTGTCTTTCTCACTGTGTAACAGCCACTGTAACACCTGTCTCTCACACTGTAACACCCACCGTAACACCTGTCTGTCACTCTGTGTAACACCCACTGTAACACCTGTCTTTCTCACTGTGTAACACCCGCTGTAACACCTGTCTCCATCACTGTGTAACACCCACTGTAACACCTGTCTCTCACACTGTAACACCCGCCGTAACACCTGTCTGTCATTCTGTGTAACACCTGTCTTTCTCACTGTGTAACACCCGCTGTAACACCTGTCTCCCACACTGTGTAACACCCACTGTAACAACTGTCTTTCTCACTGTGTAACACCCGCTGTAACACCTGTCTCCCACACTGTGTAACACCCGCCGTAACACCTGTCTGTCACTCTGTGTAACACCTGTCTCCCACACTGTGTAACACCCACTGTAACACCTGTCTTTCTCACTGTGTAACACCCGCTGTAACACCTGTCTCCCACACTTTGTAACACCCACTGTAACACCTGTCTCCCACACTGTGTAACACCCGCTGTAACACCTGTCTCCCACACTGTGTAACACCCGCTGTAACACCTGTCTCCCACACTGTGTAACACCCACTGTAACACCTGTCTCCCACACTGTGTAACACCCACTGTAACATCTGTCTGACACATCCACTGTAACACCCGTCTCTCACACCGTAATACCCACTGTAATACCTGTCTGTCACATCCACTGTAACACCTGTCTCTCACACCGTAACACCCACTGTAACACATGGCTGTCACATCCACTGTAACACCTGTTTGTCACATCAACTGTAACACCTGTCTGTGACATCTACTGTAACACATGTTTGTCACATCCACTGTAACACCTGTCTGTGCCCCGCCCCCTTCCCCCGTGACAGCTGACACCACCTCTCCAACTGGTTCCACAGGCTATCCGTATCGGCATAACAGGTGAAGACAACCACGGGTCTCCCTTGACTCGCGTCTCCGGCACTGCTGTCAGCCCTGAGACGGAAATCTCCGTCACCTTCCACGACACAGAAGGTAAGACTGAACGTCACTGCTACATAATAGGTGTTTGTTTCCAGTCCCTGAAGTTCACTATCCGCTAGTTAAGTAGAAGTTATGTTTTTGGTTTCTAATTCCTACACATACCAAGTGTAACTAATAATCACCCAATCGTTTTTCCATACCTTCAAGACCTCGTGTCTGTTTCCAGGGAATTTACGGCATTATTAATTTAGTTCAAAATTGAAAATATTTATGTTAAAATATAGAATTTGTTTAATGTTTTCGTGCAATAGGAAACCGGACGTCGGGGACGTGTTTTGCTTCACAATTTTTTTATTATCAGCAAAACTGATCAATTACAGATTGAACGTCGAAGTGAAATTTTCAACTATATAGTGTTGTCATGCTAATCTTGGTGGTATTTACAGACTGATGAGTCAGACCCCAGTTCTTTATTGTGTATGTAGGTATCATTCATCCTGGCCGGGCGTTGATCCTACCCTATACTGTCGTCAACCACGGCGAGTCTGGCAACTTCACCATCACGGTGACATCAGAGAGCACGGTGAGACTCGTCGTCACAAACATCGGGCATGATTTTATTTTCAGACAAATATTTGCTTTGTTGAGGAGCAATGACCGTGAAAATATTCAGTCTGTATCCTCTGTAACGAAGACGTCCTAGAAACCTTCTAACATGGTGGTGACCTTACTCACCCTATTACCCGACCCAACCTGGTACCGTATTTACCCTAGTACCCGACCCAACCTGGTACCGTATTAACCCTAGTACCCGACCCAACCTGGTACCGTATTTACCCTAGTACCCGACCCAACCTGGTACCGTATTTACCCTAGTACCCCACCCAACCGGGTACCGTATTTACCCTAGTACCCCAGCCAACCTGGTACCGTATTAACCCTAGTACACGACCCAACCTGGTACCGTATTTACCCTAGTACCCGACCCAACCTGGTACCGTATTTACCCTAGTACCCCAGCCAACCTGGTACCTTATTTACCCTAGTACCCCAGCCAACCTGGTACCGTATTAACCCTAGTACCCGACCCAACCTGGTACCGTATTTACCCTAGTACCCCAGCCAACCTGGTACCTTATTTACCCTAGTACCCCAGCCAACCTGGTACCGTATTAACCCTATTACCCCAGCCAACCTGGTACCTTATTTACCCTAGTACCCCAGCCAACCTGGTACCTTATTTACCCTAGTACCCGACCCAACCTGGTACCTTATTTACCCTAGTACCCCAGCCAACCTGGTACCGTATTTACCCTAGTACCCCAGCCAACCTGGTACCTTATTTACCCTAGTACTCCACCCAACCTGGTACCTTATTTACCCTAGTACCCCACCCAACCTGGTACCGTATTTACCCTAGTACCCCAGCCAACCTGGTACCTTATTTACACTAGTACTCCACCCAACCTGGTACCTTATTTACCTTAGTACCCGACGCAACCTGGTACCTTATTTACCCTAGTTTCCTACCCAACCTGTACCTTATTTACCCTAGTATCCGACCCAACGTGGTACCTTATTTACCCTAGTACCCGACCCAACTTGGTACCTTATTTACCCTAGTATCCGACCCAACCTGTACCTTATTTATCCTAGTACCCGACCTACCTGGTACCTTATTTACTCTAGTACTCGACCCAACCTGGGACCTTATTTATCCTAGTACCCCACCCAATCTGGTACCTTATTTCCCTAGTACCCCACCCAATCTGGTACCTTATTTCCCTAGTACTCGACCCAACCTGGGACCTTATTTATCCTAGTACCCCACCCAATCTGGTACCTTATTTCCCTAGTACCCGACCCAACCTGGTACCTTATTTATCCTAGTACCCCACCCAATCTGGTACCTTATTTCCCTAGTACCCGACCCAACCTGGTACCTTATTTACCCTAGTACTCCACCCAACCTTGTGGCTTATTTACCTTAGTACCCGACGCAACCTGGTACCTTATTTACCCTAGTTCCCTACCCAACCTGTACCTTATTTACCCTAGTATCCGACCCAACGTGGTACCCTATTTACCCTAGTACCCGACCCAACCTGGTACCTTATTTACCCTAGTATCCGACCCAACCTGTACCTTATTTATCCTAGTACCCGACCTACCTGGTACCTTATTTGCCCTAGGACCCGATTGAACCTGGTACCTTGTTTACCTTATTACCCGACCCAACCTGGTACCTTATTTACCCTAGGACCCGTTTTAACTTGGTACCTTATTTACCCTAGTAGCCGATTCAATTTGGTACCCTATTTACCCTAGTACCCGATTCAACCTGGTACCTTATTTACCCTAGTATCCGACCCAACGTGGTACCCTATTTACCCTTGTACCCGACCCTACCTGGTACCATATTTACCCTAGTAACCGACCTGCCTGTACCTTATTTACCATATTTACCCTAGTACCCGACCCAACCTGGTACCTTATTTACCCTAGGACACGATTGAACCTGGTACCTTGTTTACCTTATCACCCGACCCAACCTGGTACCTTATTAACCCTAGTATCTGACCCAACCTGGTACCCTTTTTACCCTAGTACTCGATTCAACCTGGTACCTTATTTACCCTAGTCCCCGGCCCAATCAACTAGAGTATCGACTTACCCTAGTATCAAACCCATCATCATCATCATCATCTTTATTTGCTAACACCCTAAACCCTGCTACCGTAGTTCTCTAGTACCCGTTCCACCCCGCTACCCTACTTTCCGAGGTACCAGACCCACCCCGTTATCTTAAAAGACTTCAGGAAGGACGGTTGATTACAGTTTTTCTTTCCAGACTTTGCATGCCAGTACCTCCCCCGCTGTCTTCAGCATCAACAAAAACGACTCCTACACCAGCAACGTCACTGTGACCACCACTACGTCTACTGAAACAGCAGGGTTGGTAATGCCGCCTCTAGCGCACAACCAACCGTCTCTCCTCTCGGTCTCAAAATATATATTCCAAATCACAACGTGTCACCTCTAGAACAATGTCAAGTGTCGCTACACTGTCAAATCACCAAGTAATATGGTGATATATATATCATTGTATAATTGTGACTGTGGAGGTATGAGACTTCCACTCCAATATATAACTTCTACTTACCCCAATCGTCCACTGACGAACACATGCTGCTGTGTGACTATGCGTAATTGTGAGGCGTGATAGCTAATGAAATAAGCCTTTGTATAACACATGAAATGCACAACCCTACGGTGATCTGACATTGAACAGAAACGCAAAAACCCTTTCCACATCCGTGAGAAATCTCTACTGTAAGCAGAGTCGATTATACAATTGTGACCACACCATGAATATGTGTTTGTATGACGGCGCATTCAGCAGTAGTACAGCTGTACGACGCGGTCTGTAAACCGTCGAGTCTGGACCAGACAATCCAGTGATTGACACTGTGAA